AACAGGATATGGCCTGACCCCATGTTGGAATTACACACTAGCAATGTTGATAATAAGCACAATTTTCATTCTTGTGGATTTTTTCTACTTATTGTACAGAAGTATAAGACACGGTTGCTTTCCAGCAAATGATCCTAACCAAGCAACGGGTCAGCAGGTGAACTGGGCGAATCAAGGTGTGTCAGTAATTCTGTCACAAAAAGGAATGCCTGATCAATTACCCTACCCACCACAGTCAAGAAATACTGAACTACCGATGTCTGATATTCCTAAAGCTCCCAATGCTACCATTAATTATCAGAAATAATTGATTGAATATTTGCAAAAGTTGCTATCTAGTAAGATGGTAATTGTAAAAGAAGCATTTTATACTGTCAAAGAAGAATTAAATGAAGCAACAACAATCAGTAGATTTTGTCTTCTTTGAGTTTATTCAATGAACGAGATGGTATTGTGTATTTAAAATAGTTTTCAAATGATTTTTTTAACTATTCATATAGTATTGTTTTATCAACTTGTTTGCCTTGAATGGTCCGTCTACCAGATCCTTACTTAATGCTCATGGAGGATGTTACCGGTCAAAGGGGAGGCCAACTCCTCTTAGGTACCTGACCACACTATTCCTTCATTAGATGTGTTTTGTTTAAAGTTGTTTTTTAGATCGACCACTGTTGTTATCTTTCCTTTTTATAATTAAAATCAAAATTGTATATTTAATTTGCAGCCATCATGTGAAGATTTATTTTAATATATATATATTTCAAATGAAAAATATAAGACATTTACCGAATTCATTTAATTTTTTTTTTTGAAAAACCATACTAAAATTAAACAAAAAATATAACAATTGCGCAACACTGATACAGTGAGAATATATGAATGTGCATACGTATCAAAGTTTTAAAAAGTTTTAACTATTACAATTCTGCTTAAAACGCAAAAGAAACATAGTCACCTGGGTTAGTACCTATGGTATCTTTTTAAGTGTTTCCATTTTTCTCTAGAGCAATATGCTTACAAACAACCATACGTCCACCCAATCTTATTAACAGTATATCAAAGTTCCTGAAGATTTATGTTTTTGAAGTCAAGCATCATTGTCAAAGAGATAGTATGAAGAAGGTCTTCTGTTTGAAGATTTTTTTAAAATAGATGCTTCACGCCTTTTCCTTGCCAATCTTTTTGTCTTTCGAGATGTCCTCCACTTTGTCTATTGTGGTGTCATTGTAACGGTTATTGTGGTTGTTAGATACAGCAGCCACCACTGCTAGAGCCTACATAAATAATAAAGAGATGTGTTAGATATACACATAACACGTGATTTATGTATTTATTTTCATAAATGTCGATAGCTATGCCGATTGTCACTGAACGCCACAATGAATTTTCCCCCACACATCACAAAGTTGAAAGTGATTTGAAAGTCGGGCATCAGACCCGAGGAACATTCAAGTAGGCTGGCCAAGGATAAACAATTAAGAGCGGGGAATTTTTTTGTGCCCTACACACCAAAGGGTGTAAAGGACATAGATGAAGAGATGTCAAGATTACAAGTACAGAGTACAGTCCCGTAGGAAGCAATTTCAAAGGCCCTTAAACTAAGCATCTGATTAGTAGAATTCATTTAATGTCCCTTAAACTCAAAAATAGAATAGCATATAGTTTTGATCTGTCGGCGCGTCTGTCTGTTTATTCGCAAAAACTTGAAACTTCAATGCTCATTACTTTGAGTTATAGCAATAAGATGTTTTAAACATGTAATTTTATTTCAAGCAAAGTGATCTTTTTCGGGGTGATAGGGGGAGGGGGCATATTTAACCTCTTGACCTTGGAATTTGACCCACTTTAAAAAAAAATTCTCAAACTTTAATTAACATATACCTTAGCGGTAATATTTCAACTGCTGGTCATAGAGCTTTCATACTTCACATGTATATTTCATTGTGATGAGACATTTACTTGGGTACAGAGTCTTCTTTACCTTTTGACCCTGATTTTGGAATTTCTTCTACTTTTGAAAAATTTACATTGGATATAACCTTCGTACAGTGAGTGTCAGGGGGCTCGATATTTCACAGGTGTATTTCTTGTGACAAGGTCATTCTTGCAAGTGATTAATGACAATTTTGACCCTTTAATCTTAATCGTGGAGTTTGGCCTACTTTGAAAAAAAACTACGCCATAACGTTAAATACTGTAGTTAGTGGTAGTACTTTTATATTTCATATGTGTATTTATTGTGACAAAACCTTCCCTTGAATACTATATTTTTTACCCTTTGACCTTAAAGTTTGGCCTACTTTTGAAAAGCTTTGACCTTTGCCGTAACTGCTGTTGCTAGAAAATTTATATTTTACATGAAGGCCTATAGTCCTTATGATAAGAACATTCCATTGGCATCATTTTACTTTGATTTAGACTCTTTGAACTTGAGATATACTAGAGGTTGAATTTCTTTAAAAAAAATATTTTCAAGGCTGGCACAGCGTACTAGGAATTTATGTATCACAATTTTTGTTCTTGTGAAATAGTTTTCTTTTGGGTACCACAATACCTTGGAGTTGTACTTGCATTTGAGAAACTTTAACCTTCTATCATTTGTTGTACTAGGACATCAACATGTAAAAAAGGCTCTTGTTTTCTGGGTAACTGTAAAATTGTCTTAATATAAAGACAGAACTTGAATAAAAACTTTACATTCCACGTTTTCACTAAAAGAAGAGATATTTATTTGGTTCTGTTTGGTTTTGTCTGGGCATGCTCTTCCTTTTCCTAAAGCTGAGGACACAGATTTTCTGAATTGCCTGCCAGGGTTATTATAATACTTTTCTAGCATTATCTGCATAGTAATGTTTTTGATATTTCTTTTTTAAAGTATATACTTTATAAAATTAATGCTGACTTCTAATGATAATAAATTCTTTGTCAAAATAACTAAGAGTGTAGTTTCTACATTTTGTTTAAAAGTTCTTTTTAAATGGTTTTACCTCAATCACCATGACAGTAATTCCGACGGCGATGAAAACGATATAGTAGGCACTAAGAGAATTATAAACTGCATCATAACAACCCTGAAAAACGTAGCAAAAATAAAATTTAAAACAAACTATTTCTAACTTTTGTAACAACTTATTTTTAACTCTCTTTGAAAAATCCGAAATTAGTTGTTGATTTTTAGACATGAGTTGGAAAAATACAGAAATCAAATATGATACAAAGTAAGCTTTTTGAAGATTAACATATACCGTCGTATGATAACCGGAAGTGACACTGTCCGTGCATGCTGTGTTCGTGTATGTTGAGTACGTTGATTCTGTGACTCCAGTACAACAGAATGTTGGGATTTCTTTACTTCCGGCGGCACCGGATGTTATCCAGGCTGACGTGTCAAAATCATTTGTAGTTCCAGTGACAGCATTCACTGCACAGCAAGACATCTGAAACCAACAAAGTTCTAAATATATTACAATATTGTAATAGTAACAAAGGTACTGGTTCACTTTCAACTTAAATTATGTCTATATAATTATAATAAACTTGTTTCTCTGAAAATAAACACTTGCAGAGAATTACAAAAAAATATCTAAGAAAAGTGAAATAAATGCTTTTTTGGTCTTACAATAAAAATGTGTACATACAAAAACTTATGTTTTTTTTTTGTTCAAAGTAAACTGTAGTTTTTTCTTTCTATCATTAAACATTAACATCATTACATTCAGTTCATGAAAACAGTGAAAGAAAAGTATGATAGTCGAATGATTGCATTGGTCGTCTATTTCTCTCTATCGTTGTATTCTTACCAGCATAAACATATAATTCCAGGCGGTTGAGGTCTCGCTAGTTGTTAGGTCATTAGATCCGTAATTGTTTAATAGGGACACTAGTTCTGTCTTCATCCAAGACTGTAACTGTTTGGATAATACAGAGTTATCATTAAGCTGTTAGCCCAGAACTTGTGTTTCGTAAAAAAGCAGTTCTATTCTTCTTCATTGTATATTTAACAGAAGTGTATTTGCAATTGCTTTATATTTACCTTGGCATTACTGTCGAACCACATGAAAACTGCGAACACTTTTATTAGAAAAAGAATCAGTACTATACCACCATACTGAAAAATAAGAGAAAAAATTAAAACTGTTTGACCACATTTTCATAATTCAAAGTTTATTATACGTATGAATAACTTGTATTGTTTATTTTCTTAGAGTTGCAATATGGAATAATCTATAACTTATCTATAACGCTTGCTTACTATATCAAGATATCCTGGTTTCCCTGTGCAAGCGCCACAAAGACCAAGAATACTGACTAAAATGACAAACGTCCCAACGACTATGAGTGACACACAGAGTGCGATGATCATTTCTCCGAGATTGATTCCCCCAAATGTCAGCTGCTTCATCAGTGGCAGTACTTTATCACTTACTACGTCATTATTGACCAGTACAATGACCCCTGGTACGATCAAAGCGAGGCCAAATATCTGAAAAATAATAATTTAACGCTGCAGAGCAATTCAAATTTGAATCTGTGTTTTCAACAACCCTTTTAATAGTATATCTCTAGGGTTGTGATGAATGAAATATGAAGATAACTAACAGTAAACAAGCCCAAAAGTCTGGAACAAAACACATTAATAGTAGCAAAGTACAAGTAAATACAGACTTAAAACGTCAGAGGTCGGATCAGGATAAACATAGTTTTCCCTGATAATTCTTCTAAAATTCTTCAGAAATTAATTTCTATAGGAGGAAAGAATCGAAATCAAACTATTTTTCACCAATTCATAATAAATGTTTCATTAAAGTTAACGTGGAAGAATGAAACAGCCTTGGCATCAAGAGATCTTTATAAAATATCAGATGATGAATATATTTAAATGGCTGATTCAATCGATATCACAGACTTCGCAATCGGTTTTTTTTATATACCAGCCATGTTTTATCCAATGAAAACTACACTGAATGGCACCTAACAAAGATTTTGAAACATCCTTACCAGAAAAATTACGTTGATTACTTTGAGGAAAAGGGGACCCCATTTTTCCGTGAAACACATCTTTCTTTTTATACTCCACTTCTAAAATAATTCAATAAAATGATCAATAATTAGAGTGAAGAAGAATCCAAACGATCAAAATCACTTTTCAAATCCAGCCGAATAATTATACATACTGGTATTTAAATACCTGTAATCCCCGTCAATATCTAGACCAAGAAGGTCAACATTTTGCAAGGCTTTAAAGTTCTCTGCTTTCTTCAGGACATTGTTCTTTTAGAAAATCGTGATCAGTATTTAGTTCATTGATTATCAAATAATACGAAAAACTTGCTAAGAAGTTAACGAAAATAGATACCCCCCCCCCCCCGGAAACGATAGTAACGGCTTTATTATCTTTATCAAACTCGATCAATGTATGATATTCAATATCGGAAAAGTAGAGGTTAGGGTTAGCTTTAAAAAAATTGTTTCTTTATTAAAAGATGAATAATTTGCTAAAACGTCAAAAAAGTAAAAATATGCACTTGACACCACTTATGTGTTGTTTCCATAGTTATACTACAATGCAGGGAGTGATTCCGATTGTTCTTTTTCAATCTGCGTTGCAAGATTCTAATTTTTGCAGTCTAGATATTCTAAACTTTCTTGAAGAAAAACATTTCAGGACTTTGCATAAATCAAAACAATTTTATGTAGCTACACTGCTATACCATGCCATCCATGAAAATCTAAATTTATTCTTTAAGAATAAAGTGTCATTGACTGAAGAAAAAGTCTTTTGCAGCTTTTAACAGTTTTATTGAAAGGGCTAAGTAGCTACAGAAGAAGAGCTTTTAAACAGCAGCTTTTAACAGTTTTATTGAAAGGGCTAAGTAGCTACAGAAGAAGAGCTTTTAAAAAGCATCTCATAGACAGTACAAATGAAAACTTATTGCTGCACCTAGTCACATAATAGTAATACCCTTGAAGAGTGATCCCATTTGATACACTCCTTTATATAAGGGAATCCACCAAAGTAGGCACAATAGCTATTGTCTAGTTTGCAGAAAAGTTACTCATACATAAACTAAATTGATGAGCTTTAATGCTTATGAGAGTTGGTGTTCCTTGGGCATATCATGTTTGAACTTTGTCATCAAATACAATCGATCATTAAGTCACTCGATGACTGTCGTTTTTCATACTTATTGTCAAAACATAATTAATGAACTGAATTGTCGACGGATTTTCCGTTATCTCCCGATCATGACAGGAGCACAGGACGAGTGTGACCGGTCGACAGGTGATGCTCATTCCTCCATGGCACCTGATCCCACCTCAGGTGATTTTGAGGCCCTTGTTTGCTCTGCTCCTGATTTTTATTGTTTAATGAACTCTCGAGCTTATATGATTGTATGTTATTGAACGTCACATTCGAGATATTTTTCCTCTTCAACGTATACCAGTGAAAGCCTTAAAAAATAAACTGAGCATTCAAGGGCATTATCAAGCAGTAACGGTTCTTTAATGTCCCAACACATATCGTGACATTGGATATAAGATACCACAGAGTCTGACACATCTGTTTTATACTTGGATATTTTACTTAAAAAAATTAGACGTTAATGGTTATCTAATAACCAAGCTATATGATAAATGTAATGACTTTAACTTTTCAATCGTCAGCTTCCCTTACTTATGCAGCAATATACTACCTTCATCACCTGCATACGGATTTATATATCTCAATAGATTCGATACACAAGAGCATGCTCTACGTATGAAAAAATTCTAAAACAAGGTAAATTATTGACGAATAAACAAGGTGAAGAAACACGAATATCAGCAGTCTCGTTTAAAGTCATCATTTTGTAAGTTCTTATGTCGATACAATGACCTTGTCAGCCAAATCAGTTTATCATTGAGTCAAATGCTGACTGACGTTTTTCATACTAATTGTTAGTCCATTATTTATACACTGAATTGACGACGGTTTTCCGTTATTTCCCGATCATGACAAGGAGCAAACGGCGGGTGTGACCGGTCTGCAGGGGATGCTCCCTGCTCCATGGCACCCGATCCCACTTCTAATATTTTGGAGGTTCGTGTTTGCTCTGCTCCTATATTGTATTGTTTTATGGACTTTGATATTGAATACTGTTCCTTATCTCCATATCCTTCATATAACAAGTTTTAAAGCTGTCAACCAATTAAAGGCTTAATATGATTTTCACTTCTAGCGTAAGACGTTTGGTAATGAAACAATCAACGCCAATATTCTGGTCTTAGGTTTGACGCGGCGGGAAGAATACAATGAAACTTTTGTCTCCAATCACGAATCGAACTGAAGGCCCTACTATGCACTTCAACTTTACCGATGGCCTTCAGGATGAAGAAAAAAAAATGATATATCTACTGTGTCAAATGTAAGGGTAGTTTTTTTGGAATCAGGATATTTTGTTTTAAGAAAAATCACCTTGGCTGTTTTACAGGTCTGTCTTTGCCCTGATTTGTATTGCTTAATGGACTTTTTGGGCTGGGATACTGTCATTAATGTTTAAGAAACAAAACACTGGTTAGTTTCTACTCAAAAACTGTATTGAACAAATTTTAAAGATTTTTTATTGTAAAACTAAATAATTATATATATAACCTCTTTGTTATAATTGTTAACAATTACAACAATGAATTAAAAAATATGAAATTCCTGAATAATTATTTACAGATATACAAATAGTACATATATGGCAGAAAAGCACCTAGGTTAATCCACTGAAATGCTTTATTTGGCATCACATCAGCAGAATTTCTCTTCGATTCTGTTAAGAGATGACATTTGTGGAGTCGCCATCTTTGGATTGAGTCACATGACTCTTTTATGCCTTTTCCTTATTTCTTTTTCTTCTTTGTTTCTCTTCTTGCTTTGTCTTGTAATGCATGTAGTTTGTCGCTGTAACAACAGCAAGCGCCTGAAAATAAGCAAAAAAAACTGACAAATATGTCATAATAGTGGAAGATGAGTGTTACTTAACTTACTTTCGAAAATATCTCTATATCCAAAAATCAGACGGCAATTCTTAACATCTTTTCAAAATATAAGTAGAACCAAAATATGTTTTATATGTCATATTTTAATAATAATAATTTTTGGATAACATGTTGTGTTATTTGTCGAGAAGCATAGTTAGAGCATAGTAAACAAAGTAGTTCGTCTGGTCATATTTTCGCAAATTCTCACATTTGCCGAGTGTTTTACATGACATCAGCTGTGATCGACCGACGAAGGTCACAAAAACTTACTTCTATCACCAGGATAGTTATCCCAATCACTATGAATGCTATTGAGTAGCTGTTTAGTACATTGTACACTGCATCGTAGCATCCCTAAAATAGAAGCATATATAAATAAAAATAATTACTAATTATATCTCAAATGTAAGGCCTAAATGATAGAGGAAGAACTATTTTCAGGGAGGCAAGAAGAGAAAAGACGTACATTCTCTTTGATTTAAACGATGTGGTTATGCACATCAAGCAAGTAATACATGCATGTTCAGATAATTGTGCTTTCAGTAAGATGACTTTCTGACTGAGATGCAGGGATCAATCGGATATTTTTACTGTCTTTTCTGCCGATTACGCTAAACAGTTATCATGGTTATACATACTAATATTTTAGGTACTTGTACATGTAGTATATGGTATGGTCCATAAACGCCAAGGACAACTTTTTTTTTAAAATTTCAGACCTCAAAATCATGTTGTCAAAAGTCCAAGTGCATTCAGAAAGGTCTTTTCGCAAGTCACATAAATGTAAATTATAGAATCCATATCTTCTACCACTGAAATATAATGCCGGAGTTTGAAATTCTAAAAAGTATAGACCAAATCAAATTTTGGGGTTAAGAATATGATGTTAAAAATCAGTCTATTCCGAAAGGTTATGTCGCAACTAATACACATGAGAATTACAAAAATACCATCTTTACGTTCTCAAAAGATATGATCAAGGTTAATGATTTTGAGACAACCAAACTGAAGGTCAGACTGAAAGATAGAAGGACGGATATAACTGATCTGAGCTTTGGCGAAAGCACGGGTGGCAAACCCCACGTTTTTCTCTTTCCCTTACTGTTGTGTAGTAATTAGCTGTGACGTCGACAGTACATGTTGTGTCGTTATATGTGGAGAAGGTTTCTGGTGTGACCCCCTGACAACAGAACGTGGGGATTTCTTTACTTCCGGCTGATCCACCGGTTATCCAGGGTGTCTGGTCAAAATCATTTACAGTTCCATTCAATGCATTTACAGCACAACAGGACATCTGAAAAATATATAAAACAATACATGTACTTGAAATGTTGAACAATTTTTGCAGAGATTAAAATAATCATAAGGCCATTCCAAGTTTTTTCTACGTTTAGCGTCCACCTGCGCCTTGGTTTTTGACACCCGATATAAGAAAAAACACACAACATCAGGAGTCCTGAAATTGATTAATTTAGTCGAAATCTTTTAATTTTGTCAATTCTCCAAATAATTCTGTACAGTAAGTTATATTGGGTGTATTTTAAGCATTTAATCCCTTGTTTTGCTTAAGAATAGATATTTCTTCTATTAAAGCAGTTCTGTCAGATCAAATCATTTGAAGGGCGTTATTTTTGTGACTTTTAAGCCTGTGTTTTATGTTTTGGCTTGTGTGTTTTTTTCGAATAGGTAGGTTTTTAAAAGATGGGTGGACGCTTTGGAATGGCCTAAACCACAGAACGTTGTGACATGTGGCAGCAAAAAAATTACATGTAAATAGGCAAAGAGGCGCTTGATAGCTGCAAACGAAAAATTCAATTGCAAACAAAAATTGCATGTTAGATAATGTTTTTGTTTACTTTTTGGTATTGTTTTGGAAATAATGTTTCATGTCTTAAAATTTCAAAAATAACTATTTGTGGATGGGAGCTATACAAGTAAGATGACTTCAGACTGACCGACATAAACAGGTAGTTAAACGCTGTGGAGATCTGGTCGGTGGATAAATCGTCTGCGGCGTAGTTGGACTGTAGTACTGACAGAAGCTGTGTCCTGATAAACGACTGAAGCTACAACAGGAAAATAAGAAACAAGGATGAGATAATATCCAAAATAAATATAATTCACTCTGTATCGTGAGGTTATTTTCTAAGTTAAAAAATTACAGTGCAAGATTTGTAATGAAACTATACCTTTGCACACTTCTGAAGTGAACTTTTGAAAAAAGACACACATCATCAATGAGAACTACCATACTTACTTTTGCTAAATATAATAATATTCCCTATTGTCATGTAGGAGTAAATTATATTTGATATAAGGTACTCACTTTAGCATTCATATCAAACCACAGAAATACTGCAAACAGCTTCCCAACGAACAAAATCAGAACAATGCCTGCGTACTGAAAGAAACAGAAAGCCAATAATGTTGAAAAACTCAAACCAATTCAGTATAACAGTTTATTAAAGAAATGAAAATAACATAACGATACTTTCAGTAAGTGAGCAAGAATTGCAGAAATGGGGAAATGCTTAATAATTTGCAAAAGTATTGCTTATATGTTTAAGTACTTGATTTTATTTCACAATGTGTTTCAACGATTTCTTTAATAAATCTAAAATTAAAAAATGTAATATTTTTACAATTTTGACATGGTTTAAAGATAAAATATTACTGATTTTTCTATCGTCAGAATCCTTTATACATGTATATTTGTGTAGTAATATATCCTAATCGCCTGCATATGGAGTTTTTATCCCAATTCAGTCAATAAGCAGGCGCTTGCTCTACGTACAAACAATTTCTAAAACAAGGCAGTCTATTAGCAACATTGACAAACAAGTTGATGAAATAGGGAAACAATTTTTTCATTTAAAGTCAACATTTCGCAAGTTCCATAGACGATACAATGACCTTGTCAACTAACAGAATTTTGAAATATATCGGTAAGTCGAATGCTGACTGACATTTATTTTTAACAAATTGTTACATAATAGCATAGTCGTTACTAGTCTAAAACATAAAAATATTTCAAGATTAAAAGTTGAAGAAAACGACCAGTGATCAGTCTCATATATTTAGCACAGAAAACAACTCGAGAACAAGGCAAAAACACATTCCTTGAAAACGACTAAGCATTTTTTGTGGATCGGTCGCACCTGTCTTGAGCCCTGATTATTGATCAGATGGGAATAGTGATTTGTACCCAAATTAAGTATAAAACAATGACCTAGCACTAGATTTAAAATCAGTCAAAATTTGACCGAATAATAGGTTACAATTAAAATGTCATTTTGCGAAAACATTTTTAAAAAACTGAATTATACAAAGATAGTAGAAACTTTGTTAAATCAACCTATTTGTAAGTAGCTTGCCCTATTTTAAAAACTGATCGTTCTCAGAGATGCTCCTGCACACCGAATTCTTTGAAAGACATGAACTCTATATGTAGGTGATGTTGGAGTTCTACAACATAAGTATGGGAAGCTGACGACGAAAATGTAGAAACCATCACTTTTGACATATAATTTATTTCTTAATTGGCCATTATCCTGTAAAGTCAGTTCAAATATTAGATAGAAGTGACAGTCTTTAAGAAGACACATCTGTAAAGCATAAATATCTAACTTATACGTACAATGTCCAGACAGGCTGGTCTGTTACAAAAGGCTCCAATGGCGCCCAGGCTGGCTATGATGAGAACGATTGCGCCCACCACTATAAGAGACACAGACAGACTTGTGGCCACGTCCCCCAGGTTATACCCTCCGTACGTCAGCTGTTTCATCAGGGGGAGGATGTTATCGTTGATCAGGTCAACATTTGCCAGTACCATGATCCCGGGTATGATAAGGGCCAGGGAGAAGATCTGACAAAAAGCATGGATTCTATAAAGTACTATCATATGAATAAACGATAAGAAGAAAATAAAGATTTAAAGAAAGAGTTTACTGCTTATTTGAGAAAATATTTCTTTACATGTTTTAGAACATTCAGTAAAGCTTCATTCTATGATTTATTTCAAAACAAAGGCTCCAAGCATGATTATATTCTTAATGTTTATTCATTCAAACATGTAACACATTTGAAAATCTTGTTAATTTTCACTTCTCGGAACTATATAATGCAAACAAACCTGTACTGAAATATTTTCAAGTTAAATATTTTTGCATGTCATCAAGATCTTAAAGAAAATCATTTATATGTTGTTGTTTTTTCTCCGAGTTGACAATATACATAAACATTGTTGAATTACATATATGATTTATAAGTTTTATTCGTAAATTACTTTATAGAGTAATATTCATAATTGATATGATATACTCAGTAGTTTCATAAAATTATACTTGTTATGCACAGATCTGAATATGTGTAAATGGTTTTATAATTTAACAATTAAAGTGCACTCATCAAAAACATTTACAATGGAAAATACAACAAAATGTTTGATGACATGCATGTTGAATGCACTTGTGAATACTTACAATAGCAAAACAATTTGTCAACTTTTTTTTTTAAAAAATTCAGCGATCAACTTTCTTTTAAATTTAACTGTATTGACAAGAGAATATTTATATAAAGTTTATTTTTTTCATAATCAAAAAATAAGCGTAATTTTTATGTGGAAAGATTTTTCTACCATTGCTGATTCTGATGTTCAAAGGTTCTGACAATACCTCAAAATCATTTTAAAATTGCCTCTACCATGAAACCTTGGTTACTTATCTCGATATAACTCTACAACAGAATTAGGACTATAGTTTCCCCATACTCTACCTCTCTTTTTTTTAAACTTACTATAAAGATGACGTTGATGACCTTCAGGAATATAGGGCCCCATTTTTCATCGGAACACACCATGATGACAGGTGCCTTATGAACACCTTGCTTGGTATATCCTCACTTCTACTGTGTATTCGAGACTACCAGGATTTGTTCCTCAAAACTGAATAAAAACATAAAAAACACTGTAGAGATAAGCCGGAGGTGGTTTCTCCCCCAAGGCCCCTGATCCCAACTCTGGAATTTAAGGAGCGTGTTTTATACCCTCTTCATAGATTTGTTTGTTTTAGGGATTTTTCGAGATATCACTTCTTTGTTATCCTAATCTTAGTCATTCACAAAAATTAATTCTGTTGGTGGTTATGTTAGGTTATCTGAAAACATTTATCTATATTTACAAGATCTAATAAAAGAACTATAGTGAATCTACAGTGAATATAGTGCACTTTGTAAGAATAAGTGTATCTTGACTAATATCACATTTTAGAACTGCATTCCTGTTGACAACACCTGATCCCACCTCTGATGTTTTGGAAGTCCGTGTTTGCTCTGCTCCTATTTTGTAATGTTTCATGGACTTTTGATCTTGAATACTGTTCGTTATCTCCGTACGTTTTATTTCATGATCTTGTACTGTAGTGATGCCTCTTGAAGCTAAAAATTATTCCTCAATGAATCATACAAATATCTGTATAACTTTTTATAATTTTTGTGATGAAAGAGTGAGCATTTACATGTACTTATACCATTATTTAATTGGTTGTAACTACTTGTTATGCTTTCCCAGATAATTTTTTAATTAAAAAATTACTTTATCATATATGTAACTTTGCTTTATCAATAACTGTGAATTATTTCCCTTCTCTCTCGTTAACATTTGTGCATGTTTCTATCAAAAAAAAAATTCTAGATACTCCCAAAGGAAGGCTATTTCGATTGTTTTTGGAAAACATTTATATTAGTCTTCTAAATCTGTGGATTATTTTTATCTCTGTATTTGTCCACGTCGGTCGATTTGTGTTATTTCCTACCCCTAGTGACGTGTTAAACTGTTGTGATGTACAGTCTGTTATAATGTAATCTTCTTAAGGACAATAATGTTAGAGGGCTTTAAGCCTGACTGATTCTACTCAATACAAACGTGTTCCTTTTAAATATTTTATATATTTCATTCACGTTTTACGACCCCAAATAAACAGAAGTTGAGAAATAGCAACGGGACGGTCGTCTTAAACATGCATATTATTACGTTCAGTTCTGGTCAGGAGCCCTTTTTTCAGTGTAATTGTTTGTTTATTATATTTTATCTTTGGGGGTCATGGGAAATTAGATAGCCATGTATTCTACATTCTTAACCTTTGTTTACCTTAACAGTTTATATGTTTGAAAAAAATATGGTTGAAAAAGCTCAAATCTATATTGATTATGAAGCATTGATAATGATCCTCCTTTACTCAAACGCAAACAAAAAAACCCATAAAGGTTACATCTGCCTTTAAATTAATGAGTAAAATTAAAGCTCTTTTAGAAAAAATGTGGAAATTGATACATCACTATTCGAAGTAGTCCAAGCGGGCTTTTGGAAGACAATTTCCTTACTTCCTTTTTGATCAGAGAGCAAAATATTATCTTGACTCTAATGAGAACGTAAAAATAAGAACAATAGCTATTCCTGACTTTGTTAGTAACTCACTTTGTTAATAAATCGATTTATTTTCTACATGATGACGTAGAGAAAAGAATGTCGATATCTGGACGTCAGAAAGCTGAAACTAGAGATAATATTATCTTTTTCTTGAGTTTCTCCTACCTTGTATGGCGTCCACAGAATCCTCAGAAATTCTATTTAGAAGGATGTTTTACGTGGATAGTTTATAAATAGATCATAGAAGAGCCAGCCATTGCCGTGTCATATTATCCTTTTTTTATTTAAATACCCCAGCTTGAACGGATCCATTAGGAAAGCGAGACAACTCTAAGAGAACTTACCTGTATTCGATAATTTCATCAAACCAAAAAAAATTAATTAAGAAATTTTCACTTTATCTAAAAAATAATGATAATTATAAATAAAAAGCTTCACAGTTCCAATGAAAAAAGTATTTTCAAATGTGTAATGTCACTTAGAGTAATTTATTATTACAAGATATATATAAATCATTGATGTAATCACACCAAGTCCGTACAAACGCAAATGCTTTTCACTCCAGTTTTTGTAAAAAGTTTTAATAGTTTCAATAGACGGATGAAGAAAAGGAACACGTTTTAAAAAATAATCATAGATGAAATAATCTATTATAATTTGAAAATTATGAGCCCGATGCATTGCTCATCTATAAGGAATAAACTTATTCAAATGTTTTAAAAGCAAAGGCATAACAATTGGTAAAAAACACATTAGTCAAAATACGACCCAACAATATATTGTATTTGCAAACAAAGTTATTCTATCATAATGCTGACTTTAAAAGAGGTTGCTGAAATCCATGAAACATGAACATATTTGTCAATAACAGGCCTCGATTTAAAATTGATCAGGCATACTCAGAGCATTCTCTTATCTTATCTTATACTTACATTATAATTAAGGAATAACTGTCTTATTTTTCGAATTCATGATATAATCAATGGATTGGCTTGTGTGATAATTTATAAACCGCGAAGCGTTTATAAAAATTATCACACAAGCCAATTTTGTTATCATCTTCATGAATTCGAAAAATTACAGTTATTCCTTATATTTAATTTCTGTTGATTCCGCCAATCCACAGGCTCCAAGCCTGCTTCTCTCTATGTGTTGTCCCGCCCTGCACGTGGTTTTTTTTGGAACCGCGCCAAAACATTCATGAGGAAATCAATTACATTTACAATTGGTAATTTTATCTCGGACAAAGACATTGGAAATGTAAATATTTAGTTATAGAACATTATAATTTGGATAATTTAAACACCATATGCAGGTGATAGAAAAAGATTGCAACATAGGTAAGAAAAAACGAAAATAGAAAAATCGAAGTCATATCGTCTGCAGTGCAGTTTAAATGTTAGTTGGCCCTAATCGTTCAAAGTCATTTCAGTCCAAATATGAAACATTTGGCAGACTCTGTGGTGTCTTTTGAGATACTCCGAGTCAGTATAAGAATTGAAGCAACTATTGGTAATTAAAAAAAACGATGTAGATAGTTCCTAATGTCGAGTTGAAGGCACAGTGTTTTTCTACTATTTTGTAGAAGTTTTTGAATACAGATTGCTTCATATGAACATAAAAATAAGTCAACTTATAAAGAAACACAATTTGTTTCCATGAAAATTCCAGTGATGCTTTCGAAGACCTGTTGTCAATGAGGAAAAGCATCCTTATAGAATCAACTTCAGAAAACAAGTGTCGAATAGGCGTTATTTTTACCAAATTAATTTCTTCATGACCAATCGCAAAATGTGGCAATTTTCAATACAATACAATATTGTATGGTATTGTATTGTGTTGTATTGTAAAGTCGATTTTAATGTTTACTGATTTCAGAAAAATTAAGTGATTTTGAATTTTCCTAAAGTACTTAGGGGATCACGGTTGATTTTCACCAATCCTAGAATTTGTTGTGGGAGAGTAGTCTGAAGTTTCTCCTTTACAGCTTTTAAAATTTTTTTAGGAGTAAAGATGCTTGGAAGGGTATTGCTGGGTCCAGCAATATATCTTTGTAAAGATTTTTATGAAGTTTGGACTGGTAAAAGTAGTAAACACTGAAATTTTATTTGAAGTTCTTCAAATGAAGTGGAATTAAGTATATTTTAGTTGGAATTCCGGTCTGGAAATCCAGTGTAGAATAAAAACCAAGTTCTTTACAAAGAAGATATTGTTACAAGCCTTTGTCTGCTGAAATCATAACATATTGTTCGTGTTAGACTTTCAAATTCTCTTACCACCTAAAATGTAGTGAAAACATGAAGATAAATGATTCACATATCACCATTTAACTTTAATTTTATTACAGTTACTCTATAACTATGTTTTTAAATTAATTATCTGTGTTTAATGATGACCTACACATGTATGTCTTATCCATATCTAATTATGATTAGATACAAACCTTATCTCAAAACATACCATTTACTTATCAGTATTGCTTTTTTCTGTTATTGCATTTCATTGTACAAGAAATCGTATAAGTCAAACATTTTAATTTGATACCATAATTTTAAAAAATATCAACAAGGCAAATGTGATATAGGATCGAAATATATTCATATAAGAGTGATTAAATAATACATGTAAATAACTTAAACAAACAAAATTATATTTTACCTCAGCAATAATAGTTATAGTCATTTTCTTGCCTTTAATCATTATTTGTAAATATAAACATTGGAGACATCGTGATAAGTATTTACATGCAAGATGGATCGTCCTGGTCAGTGCTTCCGCATCAAGTTTACATCCGTTAATTACTAATCATTCTAATATAACATGAATGGTTTTTTTAAAGTACGGTTTGTGTATTTAAGGAAAAGACCCAAGGGGCTTAATTATAACCTGAAAATTATTCAACACGGTAAAAGATGCATAAAAGAAATAGGATAAAACAAAAACTGATAGATAAAGATACCCGGTATTTAGCTCAATGTCAAGAGAAATATGATACATGTAATCATAGATTGGTAAAATGGTTTATTTTGTATTCAATAGAAAATCATGTTCAGTATATCAATGTATTTGTTGTATTTTCCAGTGCTGAAATACTCACTTTTACTAAATAATTGATATAAGAGAGCCCCGTCCACTATCTAAACTTCTAACCCAGAGGCATAAAACACGGGAACTTCCCGAGACGGGATAAGGTGCCTAGGAGGAGGAAGCATCCCCTGTTTACGGGACACACTCGCCGTGAGCCCTGTGTATTGATCAGGAGACGTGTAATTCACTGATAAGTTAATGATACAAAGTTATGTAACAAGTCAGCTTAAATACGACCCAGTTATATGACACATTATCTAATAAGGTCATTTTACGAAATGCCGACTTTAAAAAAGGTTGTTAGATTATCATTAACATCTTGTTCCTGTAAAATATCCAAATATAAAACGCACGTGTCAGACTCTGTGGTATCTTTTATCTCAAGCTCACCAGGATATATCCTATCGACATAAAAATGGAAATAACTATTGTTTCTTGACAATACTTCTTCGATATATGTAAATGTCGAGTTCAAGGCCACAGCAAGTGTTTTCTTCTTTTCGCGTGTAAGATTTTTAACAAATTCTGCTTCATATGAATACAAAAATTGGTCTGCTAGTAACGGGGCGCAATTGATATCCAGTGGAATTACAAATGATTGCTGGAAGACCTGGCCTGGGGGCCATAAAAATAAGGTGAGCCCACTTTTGATCTCAGTCTCACTTTTCCACTATATATTCCTTTGATAAAAGTGAGACTGAGATCAAAAGTGAGCTCATCTAAGTTTTATGGCCCCCAGGCCTGGTCTCCAAAAAACGTCACACTAGTAGATATATACATTGTCAATTAGAAGCTCGAGCATCTTTTTAATATCAACTCCAGAGTACACTCCGTACTTGTGTGTACGATGAAAATGGTTTTTTAACAAAATATTTTGCAAATAATCAATGACAAGGAAAATAAACTTAAGAGATCGATTGTTATTGAAAAAGCAGTTGTCATTGATCTCAAAAAGCATGGACTATAATTTATCATCGGGCATGGTTGTATATAAAGTTGAAAAGCCGCTAGTTTTTATGCTGTTGTATTTGGTAAATTTTTGTGATTTTAAAATTGTATTGGATTTTTGAAGTATCCACATCTGGTTTACGCTACTTCTCAAATATATTGTTGCAAGTAATCCTGAAGTTTCTCCTTCACTTCTTTATTTTAGTGAGGAGTAAAGAAAGGGGATTGGTAGAACATTTACTAGAACCCGCTATGTATCTTTGTTTGTAAGAATTTTTATGAAGTTTCGGAACCCAGTTTAGATATGGTAATTCAAATTCATTTTGGTTGTTGGAAATATAAAAAATATTCAAAGCTGACATGTGGTATGGTTTTGAAGAATTTCCTCCTTAAAAGGGGAGCAATCAGTATAGGTTGGATTAACACCTGTAAAATTAAATCCGAGTTCCTCCGTCTAAAATTAAATTTATATAATATGAATATTGATTTGAAAAAAAAAAATACCACAGAGTTCCATATTTGCTTCAAATTTAAATACTTTACTATAAAGAGATGTTAATGATACTATAACAACAAAATTTTATGATAAACGTGATGACTTTAATTTTTCTATCGTCAACTTCCATAATTTGTGTAACATTATACTCGTATATGTACCTATCACCTGCATAAAGTTTTTTTTTCAAGTTGATTCGATATGCAAGTACGTACACGCTCTATGTACGAATGATTTCTCAAACGAGAAAAGCTTTTTACAAACAAGTTGAAAAATCAAAGATATCAACGGCTTTGTTTAATTAAAGGCTTGACTTCATAAGTTCTATGGTCGATATAATGACCTTTTCAGTAAGTACAGCCTATCGATTGAAGTAAGTCAAATGCTAATTGACGTTTTTAATATCAATTGTTCGGCCATTATAAACACACAACATGTCTGCGGAGTTTTCCTATTCCTGATCAAGACAAGCAGCTCACGTTGGGTGTGACCTGTCAGTAGGGGATGTTCACTCCTCCATGGCACTTAATCCCACCTCTAATGTTTAAAAGGACGGTGTTTGCTCGGCACCCGATTTCTATTTTATATTTGAATTTGACTTTTGAATTTGAATGCTGTTCGTAACCTTGAAATAAATTAAGTTTATAAAGTATGCAAGAAGGATATGGAGATAACGGACAGTATTCAATATCAAAGTCCAGAAACACAATACAAAATAGGAGCAGAGCAAACACGAACCTCCGAAACATCAGAGGTGGGATCAGGTCCCAAAAGTTTTTACTTTAGGTCAATAGAGCCCTCGTTAATTCCAGAACCCATAGGCAAGGGGCTTAGAATTACAAAATTGTTGCAGAGAACACAATGCTTATATTATAATTACAATCTTTTAAGAAGTGTACTGCTTTAAAAATGTAAATGGAAGTGATTCAGATATTCCACAGAAGAGTCCAAAAATGTTGCAATGTTACACACAATACACAACTGACGGCGCACGAAACTATGCGGTAGTAAGTTGCAATCGAAAAGGCCATTGAGGAATAAAGAATCGTTTATGTGTCAGCACTTACTGTGACATGGAACCTCAGTTTATACGGTTTCATTGTATGATACTATCTACATATTGCCCTCTACAAAAATTTGAATTTTTCAATTTAAATTTGTAATTGAAAAATTCAAAGTTTTGTAGAGGACAGTACCCTTGAGATTCGAACCGGCAACATAAGTATTAACCACAGGCACTTGACGTAACATAGTTTTCTTATGAAAAAAATAATGCTAGAAACTTTATACCTAATAATGGGGCTATTATTATGCATCCGGATCGATAGATCCGGGGCGTATATTGTTTTTGTCTTGTCTGTCTGTTTATCTGTTTGTTTGTCTGCAAACTTTAACCTTCGCCATAACTTTTGAACCATGAATGAAAGAGACTTCATATTTGGTTTGCATACTCCACTAATTAAGCTCTTTCAAATGACATCAAGATCAATTACCTTGTGACCTTGACTGTGGCCTATATGCTAAAAATAACTTCTTCTTCTTTTTTTTTTTTTTTTACAAATTTTAACCTTCGCCATAACTTTTGAACCATGAGAGATAGAGATTTCATATTAAGTATGCATACTCCACTAATCAAGTTCTTTCAAATGACACCAAGGTCAATGACCTTGTGACCTTGACTGTGACCTATATGCTAAAATTAGCTTTTATCGACCTTTGTTGCCGCCGAGCGCATAGTGTTTCACAAACACATCTTGTTTTTTTTCTACTTTTAACTACTCAACTGCGACAACTTCATTAATTTTGTGCCTTGCATAATAAACGTTCTTGAAATATAATGTTCAAAAATTTCACGAATGTTTATTATCGATAAATCTTAAATGATTACGCGTAACTCCCATGTAAATCTGTTATTTCTAGCTGCTGAACAATTATTAAGATTTTGTGCTGTTCAAATTAAAAGACAAGTCTATTTTTGTAAGATCTATAACTCTTCCATGCAAGTTGTATTCATTCTAAATAAAACTATCTGAATTTTATTTTCTAAAACTTTAATTTTATGTTGGGAGCCCGGGGACTAAAATTTAACGTAGATTGTTTAATTTGGCAAAGATAGGAAAATACGAAATGTTTAATTTCACACTGTCGTATGATGTTTGAGTAACAAAATTAATCTTCTTCCCAAGTAAATGGCATAATGGCTGATTAAGTAATTCTTACCTAGAAACTGGATCTTTCATTTAGACCATTGTCTGTCTAGCTAGAAAACAGGACTGCTAAGTAGCATTTTTATGCGCCCGGATCGATAGATAGATCCGGGGCGTATATTGTTTTTGTCCTGTCTATCTGTTTGTTTGTTTGTTTGTCTGTAAACATTAACCTTTGCCATAACTTTTGAACCATGAAAGATAGAAACTTCATATTTTGTATGCATACTCGAATTTATTAAGTTCTTTCAAATGACACCAAGGTCAATGACTTTGTGACCTTGACTGTGGCCTATATACTAAAAATAACTTTTTCTGCAAACTTTAACCTTCGCCATAACTTTTGAACCATGAAAGATAGAGACTTTATATTTGGTATGCTTACTCCACTAATCAGGTTCTTTCAAATGACACCAAGGTCAATGACCTTGTGACTTTGATTGTGACCTATGTGCTAAAATAGCTTTTTTAAAACCCTCACCATAATTTTTGAACCATGAGAGATAGAGATTTCATATTTGGTTTGCTTACTACACTAATCAAGTTCTTTCAAATGACACCAAGGTCAATGACCTTGTGACCTTGACTGTGACCTATATGCTAAAAATAGCTTTTTTCGAACTTTGTTGCCGCCGGGCGCATCGTGTTTCACAAACACATCTTGTTTAATTGTGAAACTGTTGGTATTTTACTTTCAAACCCATTTTTCAAAAAAATATTTTTTGATAGGCCTACTTCCAAAGAAAGATTTATGGGCGTATGTTATTTTAGCATGCTTTTAGTTTGAGTCAATTAAGAAAATTCCGATACTGTCCCCTCTTTCGCGAAAAAGGGGGGAAATCAAATCTCATTCGTCTGTCAGTCTGTCCGTCTTGGTCATAACTATTGAATGAGAAGAGATAACTAAAGGCTTTTATATTTCATATGTACATTACCTGAGACAAGACCTTTCCAAATCTACTATAACTTTTACCCCTTGACCTTGAAGTTTGACCTACTTTTCAAAAACATTTAAATATTCCTTTAAATTTTGATCATGGTTTTTGGAAGAGAAAAGGGTTTTCATATTATACATAATTATGTACATGTATATTACCTGTGACAAAGTCTTTCTAAATATCCAACGATTTCTGAACCTGTGTCCTTGACAATGAAGTTTTCATTTGTTTTCAAATATATTATCTTTCCTAACATTTCTTGATAGAAAAGCGATGGGGCTTTCATATTGCCATGTGTATTACCTAAAAGAAGATGTTTCCAAGCATGCATTGATTTTTTCAATTCTTGTCCTTTATGTTTGACGTAATTTTCAGAAAGCTGAACTTTAGTGATTACTTTTGAATGACATATGACAGGGCATTCATATCTGACACAATATGCCACAAATGATGGCATCCCACCCACTAAGACACCAAAAGCAGGGGGGCACAATGCTTTGCTTGCTTAACTAATTAAGGTAACTGACATATATATTGCGTGTAGTACCAAAGCATATTTAAAAGCTTCGTTATATAATGCAAATAATACAAAGAAAAATTTCACTTAAATTCAAAATTAATTTTGCATCTCAAAGCTATGTGCAATTTAATTTTAAGAGAATGCATTGCTTTATATTAGTAATTTTTCTTTGGGGTTTATTATTGCTTTAATGAAAAGTTATACAATATTCAGTTCACGTTTATTCTTGAGATATATTAATGAAAAAAAGATCATGAAATGACAACAAAATGCCAAGTAGAAAGTACTGGAGTTATTACTTTAAAAAGTTTAGAAAAGGATTTACCAAAATCAACAGCTTAAAATTTACGAGTTATCAACTTTATATACAACCATTCCCACGATAAATTAAAGTCAACGCTTTTTGATATCATTGACAGCTGCTTTTTCAACAAAAATGGAACTCGTAAATTTACTTACCTTGTCATTGGTCATTTGCAAATTTATGTTGTTAAAAAAAATTCTGATTGTACACACAAGTACTCTAAAGTTTACATCAAAAAGATGCTTGAGTTTGTTGTTTTTTGGAGACCAGGTCTTCCAACAATCTATTGGAATTCTGATGTGTTCCAATTGCACCCTATTATTTGCAGAATTATTTTTGCATTCATATGAAGAAGAATTTGTGCAAAATCTTATGCGTGAAAAGAAGAAAACACTTGCTGTGGTCTTTAACTCGACATTTAGATATATCGAGGTCGTATTGTCAATTAACAATTGTAGTTTCCATTCTTATGTCGATGCGATATATCCTGGTGAGCTTAAGATAAGAAAAAATACCACAGAGTCTGACACAACTGTTTCATATTTGGATATTTTTCTTGAAAAAGACGTTAATGGTAATCTAACAACCAAGCTCTGTGATAAACGTCATGACGTTAACTTTAAATTTCTATCGTCAACTTCCCTTACTAATGCAGCAATATAATACCCTCATCACCTGCATACGGAGTTTAGATATCTCAGTTGATTCGATACGCAAGAGCATGCTCTACTTATGAACAATTTTTAAAACGAGGTAAATTATTGACAAACAAGTTGACGAAACAAGAATATCAATAGTGTCGTTGAAGTTTTAAAATCATCATTTCGTAGTTCTATGGTCGATACAATGACCCTGTCAGGAAATACAATTTATCATTGAGTCAAATGCTGACTGACATCTTTCATACTTATTGTTAGTCCATAAATTATACACTGAATTGACGACGGATTTTTTCGTTATTTCCCGATCATGACAAGGAGCACACGGCGGGTGTGACCGGTCGGCAGGGGATGCTCACTCCTTCATGGCACCGGATCCCACCTCTGATGTTTTGGAGGTCCGGGTTTGCTCTGCTCCTATTTTGAGAAATTATAGGCTCATACTATTTTTTTTTAATTCGGTTATGGGTGTGGATGGGGGTTCCATCCTTCAGGTATCAGCTGCGAGTATGTACTAATGACCATACTCCTGTCTCACGTACATCAACCCCCGTTTTAAATTCTTTTCACTGCCATTTTTTAACTGACCAGAATCGTGAACCTCGGTTATAGTGTAAGGATATACATAAACCTCTTGCTCTTACACAAGGTTTATCAAAATGAGTAAAATCAAGATTTAATTGATAGATATTTCATTAGGGAATTTATATCTAGGGTATAAGACTACAACCAAAAAGAAAAAAAAGACAGAGACAAGCATGACCAAAAAAAAAAAAAAAAAAACCAAAAACAAAACAAAACAAAACAAACCAATGTTACAGGAATTTATAAATATAATAATCCTTTTCAATTCGTTCTGCAATATATGATCCAAATATCAAATTCCTGAACTTTTACAACATAAATGATTGTAATTTAAAAAAAAGAGATCAAATTTTTTTTTTTTGTCTCTTAAATCTACACATTTTAATTTTTTAAAAAATAATATGTACAGTACATGCACGTAAATATACTATCGGGAAAACCTGAATAAAAAGAAACTTTACATTAATTTTTTTTTTATATAAAGTTAAATAAATAAAAAGTTTTCCCGTGATTTTTGATAGGAAAAAAAGGTTGCATCATGTACATGAAGTGGAGGCCCTCATCAAAGAAACTCAAAGATGACATATGTTATCAGCAGATAGGCCTATTTTGAAGCAAAGTAAAATCTATTGATCAATATAATCTATAGAGTGTTCAGCATGCCATTGAAATAACACAAAATTCATTGATGTTGCTTTTCTCAAAGTTAATTTTTCCTTGTTTCCGACATCTTCCTTATATGGAATTGTGGAAGCACCATTCTAAAAATAGAGAAAAACATAAGTTTTGGTACTAAGGGAATATATTTATTTCTCTCCCAAACAATTATGACATCTTTGTCAAATATTTTTTAACCCTTTTCTATTTATTTTTTCTCGGTCGTGATATCGTTTTTGTGGTCAATCATACACGGAAAAGAAAAAATTACACTAAAAATATTTTAAAGTCTTTTACAAAATTTTAACTTCCTCTTTGTGCCTCTTCTGACGTCACAGGTATTCTCTTCTAAATATAGAACGCGCTTTCGCTTGTTGTCGGTGTGTCCGCCATTTTGAAATACGAGATTTGCCGATCATAATTTATGAAGAAAAAGTGAAAAAATGTGTATTTAAAATAAACAGAATTACCCAATATGTAACATCAGTGTATGAAAGTTGATGTTGTGATTTTAGTTACAATGAATTGTTTCTATCTTTCTAAAAATTCAAATGTTGTAAATGCGCGCCATTCCGCGTTGCCTTGATCATCGAGGAGGTCAAAATTCTAGTGTACACATTTGAATGTTGAAATTTAAAGGTTTGGGAGCCCAAATGTCTACACATTTTATTCAGAATTCAGAAGAAGTCAATTGAAAGGTAAGTGATTGATAATTTAATACTTCCCCCCTCTCCTAGAGAAGAAATTTGAATTTGTTTTCAGTGTCATTCATTCGGGTTCCCACATGTGCTCGTCCCCAGCTGTCAAAATTGGACTCCTTAGTATTTTCTTGATTTCCTTTTACAACTTTGCTCTTGAGTTTTTAAGAATTATTTTCATTTGTTCATTTGATAAATATAGTAGAAGATTAAAGAGTGTTTTATGTGAGAAATTTGTACAGGTAAGATTCAAACGCCCCTGACTTGGTCCAGACATGTTTTGGAGCTTTCCTGGACACATGTACAAAACTTGGATATGGGGATTCTCCCTTGATTTTGAAGTATATCTTAGAGAATATAGAGTTTTCTAAAGCATGTAAAATGTAAAAAAGATTTTTTTTTAAAAATGAATAATAATAAAATTGGGAACATTAAAATGTAATCGCTATCTGTTTACAGTTGGCCATTGCCAGGGACGGTAACTCTGTAAACACTGTAGTATTGGATATATGATAAATCATAATGACCTAAAAGTAAATGTATTTGTTTATTTGGATTGATATTGTTTTTATGAAACCTGTCGACTGTTTTTAATTTTCTTTATTGAAAACATTCAATGCATTTGTAAACATCCCCTAAACACATAATACTTGATATCAATAATGTTTAGTTTAGATACAACAGTGTAGATGTTTGTTGATTGGTGGAAGTATAGTTCTCAAAATTCATATAAGATTTGAAGAGTAAGATTTTTAGTTACCTTTAATTGATGTTGAATAAATGTGTATCATGAATACAAGCATTAATGTCAGCAATTTTGAATACCATGCATTCTTGTATGTACATACTAAGGCCATAATAAAAATAGTCTTAAATTCTCATCCCTGCCCGCCTAATTTTTTACCACCGCCCCAATTTTTTTTATTTCTGCTTTTCTTCATCTTAATTGGTCTTAATAAAAAATCTGCAAAATGGAAAAAATAAAAAAAAATAAAAAATAAAAACAGCCCACCCATGGCCTAAAGGTTAAAAAATTTTAAGTGACTGATTGTGTGTTGTCAATATCTCTCTCAAGAATTTTTCACTCATATGGAGATGCCACCACTTTCCAATGGAGAGCTGCACATTTTGTCCAGTAGTTGGCACTTAGGGCCATTGAGGGAACTTTTTTGTGCCAGCACCTACAGTGAGACTAGACCTTGGTTTGACCAATCTCCATGTCACACAGTGGGATTCAAACCCGTGATGTAAGGATCAACTCCTTACTTCGCGACTCTAGAGCAGATGCTCTAACCACTGCGTCACACAAAATTTTAGGATTTGAAGATCAATGACAAAACTGGGAATTTGGGCTGCGGATGTTATTAGACTATCAGGAAGCCATGATGCCCGGATAATGATACTAATAATATGTGTCATATTTCTGAAATTGAAATTAAAAACAAAATTCCTTACCCACCTTCCCAAACATATAAACTAAAGACTAAATAGGCAATGCCAAACCAACAATTTATTAATTGTGGCCGTACATTGAATTTTGCAGTATACATTTAATGTGTTGTCATCATTTTTATGTTTATAAGTATAAAAGGCTGTAGTATGTACATGAGTGTAGAGAGAGTTTAAGCATGGATTTGCTGAATTCAATGATTGGCATTATCCCTTGGAGAATTTTTCACTCGTATTGAGATGCCACCACTTGCCATTGGGGGCTACAAATTTAGACCTGTACTTGACATGACTGTTGAGCAGTGAAGGATCTTTTTTCTGCAGGCAACTACAGCAACACAGAACTTCAGTTTAGACAGTCTCTGACTCTCATCCAAGAGACTCGTCTCGTAACACAATGGATTCGAACCTGCAGTGTAAGGAACAACTCTAAAGCAAATACGCTATTAACTGTGCCATGACTGAGGGGTCCTGTAGCATCTGTTAAGGCTTGGATTAATTTTGGTAAATTTCTGCTTCATTTATGGTCAAGTGATATGATTGATTGATCGTATGTTGATTAACGTCCCTCTCCAGAATTTTTCACTCATATTGAGTAGTGCTGGGTATCGCGACTGAAACATTTTATCGCGATATATTGCAATATTATATTTTGTATTGCAATATATCACAATATAAAATTTTTCATAATTTTGCTTTTCATCAATGTTAAATGAAAACACAAACTCAAATTACATGTATTCTCGAGTTGATATTGCAATTGCCTGATCACGTTGTGTCCACGCAAGTGGCAAGCTAAGTTTTTTGTGGCACAATTTCAGGAATCAAACTGTAATATGCAGATTCAGCTTTAACATGAAGGTGTAACAGTTGTCATCTTTTCGTTTCTGACAGAGACATGTCTCTGGTTTCTGATCACACTTCACGTCACTTGCCGCCATATTTTACCTTGAAAAGGGCAAATAACTCTTTTTATAACAATTTATAGCATATCGAACCCGAACGGTATTCACAAAAAAATACCGCGATACTTATTGTGAAGAACAAAATCGGGAAACACGGGTTAACCGGTAATATTGCACAGCACTAATATTGAGACACCACCACTTGCCAGTGGAGAGCTACAAATTTTGTCCTATACTCGGCACTCAGGGTCATTGAGCAGTGAGGCATCTTTATCGTGCCAGCAGCTTCTGTGACAGGGGACCTTGGTTTATACGGTGTCATGCGAAGGACCGGTCTCCATGTCCCACAGTGGGATTCGAACCCGCAACGTAAGGATCAACTCCTGACTTCGCGACTCTATAGCACACTCTCTAACCACTACGCCACACGGGCTACTCAATTGATATGAGAGCAACTGTACAAATAGCTAGGGTGTGAGCAGCTCATAGATAAAATAAATTATGTTCCCCAAACGGAGTTTGGGAACATATTGTTTTTACTCGGTTTCTTCTTCTTATTATTCTTTTTTTTCTTCTTTGTTCTCCGGTACCTTTTTTGTCTGCGAGTGTTCTCAGAAACTGTTCACCCAACTAAGTTAAAACCTTTTTAGGGTTAATAGGTGTGTAGTGTAGGTGTGCGGAACGAAGGTCATTTTGCGCGCATTCGCATGCACGTGCGTGCGCGTGAAATGACTGATATACTTAATATGGCCATAACTTTTATATTTTTTGATGAAATTAAATGCTTTGAAACTCATTACATAAGGATATATTAATAGTGTTAATAATATGACACTGTCAAATTAGCACGAACTCACGCGCATGCATGTGCGCCTTGCTCTGATTGGCTGAAACAAAAATCTCAATATCTCTTCTGTTTTTTGACGAAATGCTTTGAAATTTTAAACATTGTCATGAATTAGGATATCCTACAATATAATATGGAAAAATTTCATGAAATCACGCGCATGCACGTGCGCTGCAATCTGATTGGCTGAAACTTTAAATGGCTATATCTCCTTTGTTTTTTGACGAAATGCTTTGAAATTTGAAACATAGTCATGCATTAGGATATCCTGCAATAGGATATACAAAAAATTTCAAGAAATCACGCGCATGCACGTGTGCTGCAATCTGATTGGCGGAAACTTTAAATTGCTATATCTCCTTTGTTTTTTGACGAAATGCTTTTAAATTTAAAACATAGTCATGCATTATTATATTCTACAATATGATTTAGAAAAAAAATCTTGAAATCACGTGGATGCATGTGTGCTGCAATCTGATTGGTTGAAACTTGAAATGGCTATAATTCCCTTGGTTTTCAACCAAACAGGATGGGATTTAGAACATAGATAGATATAGGGGCCTCTTACAAGAACGTATGGTCATCATGCACGTGCATGCACGTGCGTGCATTTGGAACGAGTGAAATTAAAAATACACTTGAATGAGTGATTTTTAATACTTTTGGGCTAAATGCGTTAATATAAAGTATATTTAAATATATAGAAAGTGTAGACAAGTTTATAGGATCATTACGCACGTGCATTCACATGGGCACGCGTGCAATGTTAAAATTTGAATATGATTGGTATCCTTTTTGGAAAACTTTGTTAAAGTCAAAAATGCACATATGTTGTCTTATTTGAGAAGGCTTACAGGGAATATGGCACCAAAAGGGAGTTGGGGAGTGTTTGGGGAACATCTGTAACGGTTCCCGTTACAATTAGCACTAGTTGATTCTGGGACTGAAGTTAATTGATTTTAAAAAACAATTTTTAGGAAAATGTTTGAAATATCAGAATTTGAGTTGCTTGTGAAAAAAATCAGTCTATGCGAAAGTCACCGGACCGTTGGTTTTTACCGGTAAAATTTAGGTCGGGTCGGTAAAAAAATTCAGTTTACAGAACCAAATGTCCGATAAAAAATAAGGCCAAATAAATCTAAATTAAGAGATACACATGGTCAAATTCCCCAAAAATATCCTTTATTTGACCAATCTAGCAGTAGTACCTGATAAATTTTTATGTATTACAACCCTGTCATGATCGTTTTTACTCTAATTCGAATTTCCTCTGTCAAAGAGTAGAGATCTTTAGATAGCTCATACGTAGATTTGGTTGGGAAAATATTTAGATAGCTCATATGTAGATTCGGTTGGGAAATTATTTTCAAATGATCATTGAACTTGAGTAACCATAATGAATTGTTTCAGGAAAAATAAATATGCATTGAAAGTGAATATTAATTTTAAGAAAATCTTTGATATAGTTTATGTTGTATAAGTCAAATATGAAGAAAAAATGCATGCAATTGTATAAATAGATACCTTTTACAAAGGAAAATTATAAATAGTTAACTTGTCCATTTCACTCTGAATTTATTTAAGGTTAAATTTCACAGTGAGAATTAACCCCATCCCACCCACCCTCTCAATCTCAGTATCATAATGATGTATGGATTTAAAGGAAAAAAAGTTGGTCTGGTAAAAAATTGTTTGGTCTGGTAAAGATTTTATTTTTACCAGACATTTTGTCCTGTAAAAATTTTAAACTTTCGCGTAGACTGAAAAATGTAACTTTTTTTTAATCAAAATAAAATTTACTTCAAAATTTTTAATCAACACATAATGTAGATAAATTTGATAAATTTTAAATTGCAGATTAGGCAAATATTTCTTCTTTCTCAGGCTTTGGAAAAAGGGTCAACCAAAAATGTACTTCAAATAAAAACATGTTTAATAGCACAGCAAGTCAGGTTAAAGTTTAATTTTATGTACTAGATGTTCATGTTTTACAATTTATGTTCATGATAAGTGTTTTGACTACTTTTATAAAAAAAAAAAGAAAAGATGTACAATGTGCACTTTTGATTTTCCCCCAATTTTAAAGAAGGAAAATGAAATTAAAGTGTTAATCATATTAATGAATCATATTTCTTGTGATACACATTTGTCATCTTTTAAACCATTTAACAAATTTTTAAAGATGCGAAAAAGATCCTTAGGTATTTTTGGAGAAAGAAAAAATTAAAATAAGGGGAAAATTTTGTTTTCATAATTTATTAAATTAAGACTTTCTACTTGAATGAAAATTTTGAAAATTGGTACCTCATAGATAAGGAAGTGTGCTGTGGAAATGATTGTGTCATTTGTACTTGTTAGAACCCGTGAAAATATGAAAGCGCACTTTGAACCTAATTCCTCTACCATTCAATCCAATTTTTATGAATGAGCTCTGAAACAGAAAAAAGGGATTAGAATTTGATAGATAAGGCAGCTGTGGAATAGAATTCCTGGCATTCTTCTGTTACAGAATATAGACTGTGTATATTTCTTAAACAGCTGATCAGAATCACATTTTCTCCCCAGTGTGTTATGTAAGAGGCCAGGGGAGGGTTCAAACAGCCATTCAGCCAAATCCAGAAAATCAGTTACAAGGGGCTTAATTTTCATACTATTATGATAACTTCCTTGCTGTGAGTCATAAATCCTATTTATTTTTCCTAAACGTTCATAAAAATGCAGAATTTTTAAAAGAGAAAGTGAATGTGTGACAGTTGTTCCCTAGGATGGCCCCATTTGTATTATGTAGGTAGACTTCATTACATATTGACCAGACAGAGAAGTGTGCCATATTGTGGATGTAAGCTGTGTTTGGATTGGTTTAAATCCTGCATTGCCCTGAAGCAGAGATGAATTGTCAGCCAATTATGGAGTATTTGTCATTGGATGTTGGGAGCAAGAGATGTTCCAGACTGCATAATACATCCCGTATCCTCAATCTTGTCGGAGGGTGAGGACAGAGTTTTCGTGCCTGATCCCAATTTAAAGGGAGGCTTTTATCATAACTGTGTGTGTGGGAAATGACACCTGTAAACTTAAAAGCGTGAACGCACAAGTAGTAAAGCTATCGTCAGACAGGAAGCATGAATTAAGGTTACCTTAGTTCACATGGTGACTGATGCTACTGCTGCAGTGATAAACGACAGACTTCAGTATTTATAGAAGTGATTAGGTCATCCTCCCAAGCTTCTGCTTTGACACAGTTATAATACAGCCTGGATTTGACAGAGATTGTTGTTATTGTACAGTGTCACAAACAACAGTATGGTTCTCTCGGAGGACAGCAACCTGTCGCCAGCATCAGCTGGAGACTATGATTCAGGCTTCTCTGCACCTAATTGTGTCGATTTTTAGCTTACCAGTCAACTGCTGTCAAATTACCAGACTCTCATCCTGTCATAATGGTGACACACAGACAAACTAAATATGTTGTGCAATATACTCTGTAACCAGAAAACTTTAATTTTTATATGAAAATTCATTTTTTATGAAATTTTGATTGATTGAAAACTGAAGTGTGTTCACACCACTTAGTGTTTACATGTGATTATGTCACTGGATTCTCGTAACTGCATCCTTGCTTTTATGCGAGAACTTCTCTGTGCAAAGGGAATGATGGACAAAAATTAAGGTGGATGGTCCTGAAAAGAGTGGAAATTACCATGGATACGGGTGCGTTGGATGATCGTTTAGTTTTGACTAGGAGTCATTGGTTGAAGCAGGAGCAAGAATATTACACCCAGGCCATACGACTAAAACGTTAGTATTCAATGTGCAGAGTACCCAAGTCTTAGTTAGATATGTACAAGTTATAAACAGTCGCTGTGACTGTCCTTAAATGACCCTGAACTGAGACCTAAGATGATTTAATGTTGGGCAACAGGGCTAATGATGCAAGGGGACAGGATGTCATTTTGTAAGCCTGGATGACCAATAACTACATATTAATCATAAAGAAAAACAAACAAAACTAAAATTTCCTTAAGAAATTAAGAGAACTTAGACATGCTTTGCTTGAAATTGTTTTGTCTCTTTAGGAAGAGTTTTGTACTGAACCAACTCTGATTTAAGTAAATAGCAACCTTTAAAGAGGGTTTCATAAATGGTAATACATGTAATATCATTGATAACAAAGGAAGTTAGATAATTACTAAATTAGCAGTTTTCTAGATTATATAACAAACATGATGTAAGCAGATTCTTCTAATGACTTGACAAGTCCTACATGTAGGTTGATGAGGCAGCTATTTCTCTAATGATGAATTACTTTTGGCCCAGAGCACATGTTAAATTGAGAGAGATTTAGACCGAGCCATGATATTGACAAAACTGATGGGTTTCCATGGTTATCTGAACCTTGTGTTCCTCTGACACAACATGTTGTATTGATCGGCCGATTCCTGCAGGTCTCTGGCTGGAGAAGAGACCGATCACAGAGCTCGACTTTAATGTCGGATGATTAGACTCGCTAATTCATCACGGGGTAGAACTGGGTATCTCAGTGAGGGCAAGTGGTACAGAGACTGAGTACACAACCTACAAATGAATTAATCAAATTAATACTGTCCATTAATCCCTAGGATTAGGGGAAATTCCCCTTGTTATGAATTATTGGCCTCGTATCTGACCTAATTTTGTACCTACTAAACCTTTCGTGGTGTGTGAGGGTACTCTAAAAAATATTGGGTAGGGGTGTTAATGATAAACAATTTATTTAATTGAACCAAAATTTTAAACCCTTCTTTACATTTTCTTTTAAATAATTCTATTAAATGAACTTGAGAAATTGATATGTATTAAAATTAATTTTGAAACTTACATTGATCAAAGTCATACCTCATTGCCTATTTGAAATTTCAAACAGAAGTATTCATTATTGATTAAAAATTATACCTTTGATGAAAAATTGATTGATTATATATAGAGATCAAGAATGACAGATAATGAATGGTTCTAAGTTTGAATAAATTCCATCAGTCAATCAAGACTGAAATGTAGATCACTAATACTTGATACATGTGAAAAATACTTTGTAATTTAAAACTTTTGTGTACATGTGCATATTAATTGAAAGTCTGAATAATAACAGGATATATGTATGCAAATATTTGTTCATTTTTGAGTAAAGGTTTGAGATTTGATTGTCTTGGACAGGGTTTTCTAGTTGCACGTTATCAATTTCAATTGTAGGCCACTGTACTCTTTTGGGATAATAATTTCTGATGATGGTTTCTTTTGTGGAGCAAGATGTTTTGAAAAAGTAAATTTTTTACATGACCTATCACTGGAAATATATATCAGCCTGACACAAGAATTATCCATTGAAAGGGAGTATATTTACTTGAGTAAGTAATCGGAGATGTACAGGTTCTTCATATATCACTGCAGTGTCAAGTCCCATTGACAAAAGTTTTAAAGTTTATCAAGTTCTGTTGCGTCTGGTTACCCACAAGTGAATCTACATTCATTAGGAGATGTGATAAGGGCCTGTGTTTAAGACTGAATGACAAGACTACATGAAATGGTACCTCTAGGTACACCTAATCTCAGTACACTGGGGGGAAACATGATAGTTTTGAGTTGGTTCAGCAAAAGGTTTTGCAGTACATTTGTACTTCTGTTAATCAGAGTTTTGTTTTTGAAGCTCTGCTATCTTTAAATGTACGGTTAATTATATTGATGGTATAATGGCTCAGAAAATGGTCCCATCATGACCATTGACGAGTCGTGGCTTATGAAATTGTCCTTTCGTCCTGGGGTTATTTGTTGGTCATGACATGTACAAAAATGACCACAGGTCCTATACCTGGACTCTGCCAGGTTGTATAAATACACATTTACTGAGTAATTATTAGTGTAGACCTCTCTGCTCAGGTGTTTTGCAGGACAGCATAACTACTCTTCGCTCAAGCGAGAAACTTTCACCCAGTCATTGTTCACACTTATCATATAGGTATGCCAGGATTGTTTTCTGAAAACCAAATGAATGCAAGGAATTCCGGCATCTTATTCAGGAAGTTTTTCCCTCCTCTTTGTCACTAGCTACAATGGCTTTAAATATAGTCTATCCAAGGAAGTAGTGCCCTTGATCTTAGAATTTAGAAATCAAGCTTATACTTATGTTTCTGTGAAATCCTCAGGTTTATCTTACCTGTGAAACAGCAAGTCAAAACTTGCACTGTTCTGTAGCCTTTTATCAATAGACAAGACGTAGATCTGAATAAACAAAACGGACCATTTCTGTTGTGTAATCGGCTATTTAAGAGATTACAAGTAAATACATATCTTAGTGTATTTACCTGCCTGACATTAGCAGATCACCTGTAGGTGGCCTCATTTTGCAGTGCATAATCACCTTCAACCCTGAATGACCTGAAATAACTCTGATCACATGACATACAAGCCAGGAACTCTATCTGGCTATTAATAGCAACAATGCCTGGCAACAACTGGGTCAGTGAACATAACCCATCCCCTGATTGGCTGAAGATTTATGAATACTTCTCTGGTCATGTGATGAAAACAAAAGTCAGCTGATGTACATAGCATGCTTGTTAGAACAGAGTAGTGGAGAAATATCAATAATATTGCGAGCATTTTATGTTGCTGGCAGGATTGTCTTCATCAATGATGTTTCTTACCTGTCAATATAACGAAACAGGCTCTCGGATACTTCACACACTGAAGGCTAAACATAGATACCGCCCCCTCACTTCTGTTGCTGAGGCTGTTAGGGATGGGTGCCAGAGCTATTACGGGAAATCGGCATTAAACCACTTCAAATTGTGGACTCGTTAAATCAAGCTCAAAATAACTCTTCATACTGTACAGGGCTCGAAAATCATAAGTAGATTCATGAATGAAAATAATTACAGTTTGTAAAGTCTAATTTTATGACTATTATTTTAAATACTGTAAATCATTTAAATGTTGACAAAAAAAAAAAATTGCAAGAAAGAAGGAAGCAGGCAGTAAGCCTTAGCACATGAAGATCTTAAGATGAGGAAGACTTCTATTGTTGTGATGTAATTAAAGGAAGATTAAATAATAGGGAAAGAACAAACAAAATGTCATTCAGATTTTTAAGAAGGAAAAGGGAGAAATCAAAACATCCTACTACACAGAGAAGAGGGAAAGATGTAGGGCCCCGTAAGATTAAAGAGAAATTCCTAAATTTCTCTGTCATCCCACAGGTAGAGAGGGATTGGATTATCTAGATAGACTTGACATAGGTATATAATTAATGCAAATATTATTCAGCTATTCAGATGTGTTAGTTCAAGGTTCAGCTTGGTTGGTGTTGAGTTCTTAATGCAACAGATGTATGTGGTTTAAGCATCCTTTATGGGACAGAATTTGTTGATATAATTTTCTGTGTGTGTAGACACTCTATGACTTGGACAGTAGAATTTGTAGGTGAGTCTTTTAATTGTTACCTGTCATTTATTTACTGAGCATGCAGTTCAGGTGAACTACCAGCAGGTGCTCTATACCTGCCCATTATTCTGATACAGGTGGATGGCAGAGAGTCTAGACCACAAGTCGACTTCAAGCCGCTTTGATGGGAAATGTTTTCATATTTTGGACTTTTTTTTGCGGTAGCTGATTCATTTATTTGTTTGTGTTCATCCTTGTGAAATTCTTACAACATTGAGACATTTCCTGTCACCTAGATAACCCAAAGATGACACATTTTTTGGTTGTTTGGTACTTTGTGTTCAAGAAGCCAGCTCATCCGTGCTTTTGACACAAAATATTAACGACCGAAAAAACCCCGCTCAGAAGCCAGTGATTCAGAATCTGTGCACTAAAAATAGCTGCATGAAAGCAACTCAATGCATTTTTACTTCTAACAGAAATTGCTTCTCTAATTATAGTTTTTTTTTATTTTAAAAAAGTAAAGAATTTCTTTTGAAAATCTATCTGTTCTGGGAAAAAATTGATTCTCATGATTTTTCTACCCTAAGATGATTAAATAAACAGAGAGCCTGGGTAGTGTCTCTGATAACAAACCGGGGCCTTCTAATTAAGTCCAGGTACTCTATTGATACATAATTAATGAGCTATGCTGTTCTGCCACAGGGCTGCAGATTCTTTATTGATCAGATATTGAGTGTTCTACAAACCCACACTTTTTTCCCAGCATTTAGGGGCAGCAATATTTCCCACCATGCTTTGCTGTTTTGTTTTTTCTTGCCACTTCCTGTATGTCAGTATTGATTAACCCCAAAATTAAAAATCCCTGTCGGAAAAGCTTTTAAAGAGCATCATTAAAAATGCTTTTAATTGATTATTCTGAGTCAATATACCTTTAACCATGATTGTTGTTCAAATTTTCACATGGCATTGCTACTTGAAATTGTGGGAAAACTTTACAACATGTTTTAGCATGCTTGTATTTAGAAACAAGTCATTGTGGGTATTTAATATAGGTTTACAAATTTGGGCATGAATATACATTTATTAATATGGTGGAATTTCTCTGCAAATTCAAAGTAAGTGAAAATTGATAGTATTAATGAAATTTACAACTCTTAGTGATTGACAAAGTCCATATAAATTAGAATGGGAAAATCTATACATTACATATACGGAATGGGATTAGACGGGAACTAGATTATTGTTTTGGAGCCAAGTTGAATGAGACTAGTATTGAATGACGCATAAACAAAACAAATAAAACCTAAGCCTGGACCGATACATGATGAAATCTGTGTATTAGAGGTTGTCTTCACATTCCTAACTTGATGGATGGTCTGGTTGGACAGGAGAATTTGACAGGCCTTGAGTAATGATGATAATTGAGGTGACTCAGTAAGTGAAAACAATGCTGGTGGGTCATTTCTGTGATTGGTTCCCTGGGGAGGCGGTTTGTATTGTGGGATGTCCAGCTGATTCATTTGTCTGAGTTGTCTATACGTATCAGAGGTAGATGAACTACAGGCTTCCATGTCTGTCACACGATTCTCAGGGTTATGTTTACCTGTGGAGATCCTACATCAACTGTTATTTGAATTGCTAGTAGAATAGTTTTACAAAACAAAAGTAAATTTTTCTAGATGTGTGTTTTATGTAATCATCAGACAGAACTAGATTGATCCTGCTAGACATAGGTCACTGTGTCATCAGGTTACACTTCCCCACTTCCTCAATACTGCGTACTGATGACAAAGTAAATCTCAGTACTGTGTTGTACATCACCAGACAGTGTCATTATTTGTCATTTGTAAAACACTGTACTCTGTAACTAGTCCATAGGAAGGGTCCATCATTTCACTCATCAGACACACTGTATATCTGTACAATACCAGCTGTTGGTCAGACAGACGGTCACAGCAGGGGATAACCTTTATTAGTCCGGCCAATTGACCACTCTACTACTACTACAGATCACTGATTCTTTAGGTCCGTACTGTACGCTGACCCCTTCACCAGGTGACCAGACTGTCCCCCTCAGGTCTTTGGTATTAACTTTATAGACACACTGTATCCATTGAGCTACAGGGAGGACTCCAGCATGAAATATTAATACCATAACATGAAGCCCCTTATAAGTTCTGTGTTGATTAAAATATTATTTCTGTTATTTCTGTAACAATGTAATATTGGTTTGATGATATTTTACATTGAATGAGGAAGTGTCAAGTTGTGAGGAGGAGTAGACACATAGTAATTATAGGTCTGATCAATAAGTTATAATTATCAATCCATAAGAAGCTTAAGATATCAGCTAAACAGAGCCGGGCTAAATTTATCCTGTACTGTATGGGGTGAGATGGAGAAAGGTGGTTTTCATCATCACCTTCTGTTGTTTTTAAATGATTTAGGCAAGAATCAGATGTTTTAATTAGAATTTTCCAAGAATTTGTATTTATAGTGTTAATGAGAATTAATCTAGTTTATTATTAGAAAACAATTAAATTTAAACAAAATCTGTTTTTATTTAGTGACATTGCCAGTTTTATTGAGTGTTGACTGTGTTTTGTAGGTCAGCTGTCGAAGGCTCGCCATGCTGGAGAGGCAGGGCTGCTTTACCATAGGATAGCTGGCACTGACCAGTTAGACATCATGGCCGACCTTCAGCAACAGGAGGTGGTGGCCATGCAGAACCGCATTCCCGTCTCCTTCCGTGAACCCAGTACGGCACCACTCCGTAAACTCAGCGTCGATCTCATCAAGACATACAAACATATAAATGAGGTAAGTCTATTTCTCTATTGGCCAAATATTATGTGTCTCATATGAAACTCTGAATTTGACCATAGAATACGTTGTAAGGGAGTTGTATTGAATTACTTGATGAAAAATTGAAGGGGAAAACAAAATAGGGACTGCAGTAAAAAGCTTTTAAGTGGAACTGCTTATTCATTGAGAAATCTGCCTTTGGATGTTTTGGATGACACTTGGGTGTCTATAGCCTCACCGTTCTATTAGGACATTGTTAGTTTTATAGAAAATATACTCTTCTATATCTATTCTGAGGGCCCTGCTTAAAAAAATTAGGGTAGGTTAAAATGCATTTGCTGTAGCAGGAAAAAATTTTATTTTGCAGGGCTAAAATTTCTATTTTCAAAACTGTTCAATGAATGCAGAAAGGCTGCCAGAACATATAGTATGTAATAACAAGAAAGTTTGTTAATAAAGATTTATAAAGTAAAGGTATCCTGTACATTTATGATGTATTAGTTCTGTGTATTGTTGGTAAAAATTATATGTCACTCTATGATTGTAACCCAAAAAATGAAAATGTAATAAAAACTTTTAGGGTATTTCGGAGGGTAAAATTTCACATTTTTGATATACAAAAATAATAATATGTTTTAAAACATTTCGGCCTTAGAATATGACATTGTTAGTTTTATAATAGTAATTCTATGAACTCCATCTATATCTATTCTAGAGGGCCCTGCTTACATAATAAAATTGGAATATTGTTAAAATGCTTTTGCTGTAGGATATTCAAATGTGACTTCAGAACAAGGGTCATTGTTATTAGTAGATGCATCTTGAAAATTTGGATAAGTACAGTTATAACATAAGACACAGTAAATCATGCTGGAGTTGTTTGATATTTGGAGGCCTTCGTGATGACCCTTTATTACATAAGCAAGATAAATGGTTGTGGTTTGTCATTAGTGATCCTTACATTTCATAGATTACAAGTTCTAAAGATTAGGAAGGTGTTAGAATTAAGTATCTATACCAACAGAAAGTGAAAACCTGGCCACACTGTGCTAACTACACCCTTCACCTGGCTGTTTGATGTATGTAACATCTATCATACAGCTTTGAACTTCAAGGTGTATCCCCTTTACTTTGTGTATCCCAGCAGTCATCGGCTGGCCACTCAACTGAGTAGTGAAACAAATTAGCCAGCAGTTGGAGATCAGGGACTGCTCCCTCCTTTGATGACTGAGAGGGGGAGACGTCTTTTGTTGTTGTTTTTGTCACACCTGTATTCTGGCACCTGTTGGGTGACCTATGACCTTTCAGGCCCAGCAGTTGGACTTTCTGCTGAGCTGACAAATTTTTCTTCATTGATGGTTCAAGAATTTTCTGATTTCGAGCCATTTTGTGATTCAGCATGACTTGAACAGTTTGTTAGTGGTTTGTAAGAGGTTTGAATATGGGTTGATTTGAGTGATACAGGGACCATTGTATGTATGTACTGAAGATGTACTAAGACTCTGATAGTGTTGCGGAGATCAAACAGAACATTTACTTGCTACAGAGAGAGTGTTTTGTTATGCCGTTGTCTGTGATTCAGTTGGACTTTAATGTGCCACAGGAGGAGGTAAATAGTCTGTGTAAATTGGCTTTATTGGCTTGAGATTGCCAGTCTGTTTGAGAATTGCCAGTCTTACATTTATATAGATCATGTTGATGGTACCATTTCAGTCATTTTAAATAGCTTGTATACATGTAATACAAGTAAGGATGAAAGTAGTGAAGTTTATGAATTATTATATTACCTGTATTTTCAAAGGTAATACTTTGATGTTGGTTGTAACTGTTTGTTGTTTGTAGTTGTACATGACAGGTCTTCACTGTTTCCAGTCACAAGTTCAACTTGTATTTTATTGTATTTTATACTGTTTTAGGTGTACTATGCAAAAAAGAAGAGGAAAGTGGCCCAGGGTCAAGGAGACGAGAGTAGCCATAAAAAGGGCAAGGTCAACGTTTACAACGACGGTTACGATGACCCCAACCACGATTACATTGTCAATCCCGGCGAAAAATGGCTGGAACGTTACGAAATCGATTCCCTCATTGGCAAAGGTTCATTTGGTCAGGTAAATATGTACTGTGTATCAAATGGTCAGGGAAATATCTACTGCATATCATTTTGTAGCGAGACATTAAAACATTAGAGTGATTAGACACATTAAATAAACAGATCATGGGAATATGAAAATATAAGTATACATACATGTATACTAAGGTATTTCAGTGTCCTCTCAAGTTTAGTTTGTTTACTACAACAATCTTTTGTTGGCAATTACTGAATGAAAACAAATGTGAATTCCAGTCTGAGTAACTCGGCAGTCCAACTGTCTGTACATAGGAATGGTTCTGCCTCTGTGCTGCTATAGAACTTCAGGGCACATCTTTGTGATATTTTTGAAATCCTGTTTCACATTCCGAATGATAAGGAAACAGCTCTGGTTTGACATCTCTGTCTGCATTATAATTTGCAGCAGAAGTTATATTTTTTGAGAGGAAAGTGTTTTATTCAATATCTGATGCAGTAAAACGGCTTGAATACATTAGCTCTGTGACGTCATTGGTAGTCTGGGTTGGAGCTTCTTGAAATGTTTAACAGTAATGTGATCCAGTATTGACTAATTTATCATAAGTTTGCCTGCTCTGGAACCTGTAATTCCAAATTACAAAAGAAGTGCACCGCTGCATGTTGGAAGATTATACTGAAATTGTGGAGATGTTACAGATATATGTTATCAGTCTTAGAGCTTCTTGCTGATTTTGACAATTATGTAGAACTTTTTACTTACACTTGAAAGTAATATATGAGCAGGTTAATTTTACAAAATAATTGAAAAGCTTGTTAGATTTCATTTAAAAGGAACTGATAAAAAGGATTTGTCTTGTAAGCAAAGGATATAAGAATCAAAAAACATGAAGAATGAAAAGAATGTATACCCATTAGTTTTATGTAGTAATAGTAATACCCACACTATATTTCCCCCATTAGACGTTAGTAAACCTTAGACTGAGTTAGAGAAGTGTTATTTACAAATTAGAGAATTGATATACCCACACATTTCCCCCATTAGACTAAGAAAGTCTTAAGAACAGATTTATTTACAAGTTCATTGAGTTGATGTACCCAAATAACATTTCCCCCATAATAGACTACGTAAATCTTAGAGCAGTGTAATTTATAAGTTAAGAAGTAGTTGATGATGTGAGACAAAGACAGTCTGGTTCGTAGAGACTGGTATGTAGAAGTATAGAGAGGACGACGTGGGTTGATGAGGCAGCAGGGCGTGATTACATCACAGGTCCGCTCCACAATAATCAATACGTGACGTAGCAAAGGCCGTGATTGGTCACTGTCGTTAATCGTTGTTTTGTCTGGGTTCATAGTCTAGTCAACACCTGCAAGCCATAATGGTAAATCCTCTTGGACAAAAGAAAGAAAAAATAGATTCTTCAAGAAATCTCGACCAAGAAATCAATGTATAGAAGTATTGATGGTTGGTCTGTAATACACATGCAAGAGAGATTGAAGTAAAGCATGTGGACTTGCTGTATATTGATCTAGCATGGCTAGTGACTTTTAGTGAGATGCGTTGACTTTTAATATGAAAGGTAACTGAGAAATAAAAGTGGCGATCACCTGTTGATCATTACAAAGGAAACATTGACCAGCAACAGGTGAGGGAAGGCCTCATGCACCAAACAATAGCCGAGGTCAACCCACATCTGCCCAAACACTCTCACAACCAAGGCCTATTTCTGGCTTCTCAAGAAATGTTAAATCAGAACAGCAATACCTAACTGTCTGTAGCTCAAGGAAAGAATTTTACACCTAATTGTGACAGAGATTGCCCTGACAAATTTTGAGGGTCAGGAAAAATGCATAAAAAGATATTTAAAATATATTTTTATTCTTATATTTGATTTAATTTTTTTGATTGTTTGCATTGTTATAGTCCAGAAACTGTTGGGACATGTTCAATAAGATTATGTGCAGTTGGTGTATAACATGTGCATGCTTGCACTTTCTTGTCTCAGCCCCCCTGTAGTGCCCCCTGCAAGATGCTCTGTACATGTTTGAAGTGTTGCTAGGGTGCAAAGAAGCGGGGTTCCTTGCACTGACCTGAGTGTCAAAGATGGAGAGAAAATCTTTGATTTAAAGGGCCAAAGGTCACAGAATTAAAAGTCTACCTAAGACGATTGTCAAGAGGAGTTATTACCATCCAGATAAACTATATTTATCATGCTTATAGACGCAGTCAATTTGTGCTGTTTCAACATGTTTCTTGTGTGTACTCCAAAATATCAGGCAAATACATCAACGTTGGGAAAAAATCATTATCTACAGAATCTCCATTAATATGAGAACAAAAATTCAATATTTGTTAGCTGTAGATAAGGGTTCAGAAGAAAAGCTTTTATATTGGCCCTGCCCTGATAAAATCTCACACACTTGCACACATAATTGAATTAAAAACCCAGTTCTATGGCAATAATTGTATCTTTCTTTAAGCCACGGTGGAGAAATCCTGTAATTGTTCTGATAATTGGCCTTGATCTGATGAGAACTTTAAATTGGTCATTTAAGCAAAAATTCAAACAGTAGCACCAACCTGTCATCGTCTGAGACTTGTGTAACTTTTTCTCAGTCGATCATTTTGACGTATATTTAGTATAGAGTGGAAAGTTCCCCGGCTTTACCTTGATTATATTTGTTTAGTCATCTCGTTGTCATTCATTATTAATACCTGTGACCTGCACTGTTCTAATGACATGAAGTGAGAGCTCGACTGTACTGAATAAACTTTTTTTCATTAGCAGAACCATGTTAGATCTGTTTATAAAAAGTACAATTTATTGTTATTTTATACACCAGAAAACCATGGGAGTATACCTTGAATATTGCGCAACCATGTAATTTTACTGATTGGTATACCAGAAATTTTTTTAAAATTTTTTTTTGGTCATTACTGAATTGTAAGTAATGAAGTCTAATTAATTTCTGTATTTTGTCTATATATTTGTTAACTATCATAACTGTATTGTAGGTTGTGAAGGCTTATGATCACGGTGACCAAGAACATGTAGCCATCAAAATCATTAAAAACAAAAAGCCATTCCTTAACCAGGCCCAGATAGAAGTCAAGCTTCTGGAGCTAATGAATAAACATGACAAAGAAAACAAGTATTATATAGGTAAGATCATAATCAGGACAAAATAGTATAGGTAATGCAACAAAATAAGGTCAGAATAGTATGTATGTAATCAGCCTTCAAAAGTCAACATTTGATGATGAAAAAGAAAAGTTTTTTTAAAAATAAGAAATGGCTTAAATGCTAAGATTTTATTAAAATAGATGCTAGAGTAAAAGGAAATATGTGTCGATGCTAAAGTTAAAAGGAAATCATAATGTGGATCAGATTCACCTTGGTCCAGTAAATAAGTTGTACATATGTAACACAAAAATTAGGAGAAATCAAATGTAGAATACTAGAATAGATGCATATATCTCAATCAGATGATAGGGGACATTCAGGGAAAATGGAAATAACAAAGTGAAATTTATTGATGCACAGTTTTGTTTCAAATTTAAGTCCTTATTTTGAAACATGAGGAAGAAAGTAAATAAACAGAACCAACAGGTAACAAAGAAAAACAAACGTTTGATTGGTAGGAAATTAACAAATAGATAGGTGTCCCGATGTTACTGTACAGGAAGGGGAATTACAAGTCACATTACCATAACATAATGATAACCTTATTGTACCTTATATTTAAATTTTTATTGATTTTATTGTTATTATTAGTCATGTTTGTAGAAGTATTGTATTATGAACATTTATTTCTATTTGATACAACACTTAATTTTTTTTATATATTAAAAATTAATAGAATTTTTCTCTTCTTTTTTTTCAGTCAAACTCAAGAGACATTTTATGTTCCGAAATCATTTGTGTCTAGTGTTTGAACTATTATCGTATAATCTGTATGACCTTCTGCGGAACACAAACTTTAGGGGCGTGTCTCTAAATCTGACTCGCAAGTTTGCTCAACAGCTGTGCACAGCTCTGTTGTTCCTGGCAACCCCTGAACTCAACATCATTCACTGTGATCTTAAACCAGAAAATATATTACTGTGTAATCCTAAACGAAGTGCAATCAAGATTGTGGACTTTGGGAGTTCATGCCAGCTCGGACAACGAGTAAGTTAAGGAAGATCATCGTTTAAAAACTCAAGTAAAAGTGATGAAAAGGGTTGAATGTAAATATATATGCTTAAAGAAGAAATGAATAAACCCTTGTATTTTAGCACCCAGTTTGATTTAAAATCAAGTAAAATATCTTTAATCATTGCAGAGGGTAATCATACATGTACTTATGCTTGTTCTTTTTGTGACAGATCTACCAGTACATACAGAGTCGGTTTTACCGGTCCCCCGAGGTGTTACTAGGCATTCCCTATGACCTGGCTATAGACATGTGGTCCTTAGGCTGCATACTGGTGGAGATGCACACTGGAGAACCATTGTTTGCGGGGTCAAACGAGGTGAGTACAGATAAAGGCCACTAAGAGAAGATCCCGAGGTAGATTGGCAAATTCTTGGTATTCAGTCCACTTCACAGTAATCTTTCTCTTCCAAGAAAAATTATATTGATTGTTATACAATACAGCTGCTCTAATTTGCTTGCAATAAACATTTCTAGGTAACACATTGTGTAAACAGAGTTGTAGAAAGTTTATACTTTAATAAAATATTAAAATTTCCAATGTTGCAAGCTTGTGGCAACAGTCAAAGGGAGCTAATCCAGCAGTTTGACACTGACACTCCTAGTTAGACATGTTGGATAATTAGATAATGGTCAAGGGAAATGACAGAATATTTGTTGATTGTAGTATGACCAGATGATGAAGATTGTGGAGGTTCTGGGAATGCCCCCAAAGCACATCCTAGACCAGGTGCCAGTCAAAGCCAGGAAGTACTTTGAACAGTTACCAGATGGAACTTATGTCTGTAAAAAACCAAAGGATGGCAAAAAGGTAGGGACCAGTGTAGATAGCATATTTTACTCATCTATAGATTAGTTAACTTTTCTCAGGTATATGACACTTTTTCATTATCCTTGAAAAATAATCTGTAAAGAATTGTATCTGTGGAGCTTAAGTTTTAAGATAATAATATTTTACAAGGTTAATAGTGAATGTCAAAGAGAAGTTGATATTCTCCAGAGTTTGCTAACAGTACTAATTGTGCTTTTATTTTATTTTTTTTTAGTACAAGGCTCCTGGCACGAGGAAGCTTCATGACGTGATTGGTGCTGAGACGGGCGGGCCGGGTGGACGTAGGGCGGGAGAACCTGGCCATTCAGTCGCCGACTATCTTAAGTTCAAAGATCTCATATTCCGAATGTTAGAGTTTGACCCCAAAGTTCGCATTACACCGTATTATGCTTTACAACACAACTTTTTCAAAAAGACTACTGATGAAAGTACAAATACGCCAAATAGTGCATCTAACTCGCCCGCCATAGAGCAGCAAGGGGTAGCCTCTCCGTCAGGTAAAAGAAGATAATGGTTTGTGTCTACACCTGTTTCTACTTTTTACTGTAGATAAGATAAGTAGGTGTGACAGTCGGTCTGCTGGATGTCCAGATCTCAAAGTCTATAAAGATGGTCCTTGTTTGATTTATAAAGACTTTCTGAGCTTGAGGAATCATTCACATGTAGCAGTGGCTGTCAAACCTTGAATTACATACTCTGAAATAGTCTGTCAAAAGACCAGGCATGATGGGAAAGCAAAGTCTGTGTTTTGAGATTTTGTCCCTGCAAATGTTAATATGGTAATGGATAGAAGACCTAATTTGGGTGAAGCAGACCTGCCTACTCTCCCCATTTAACTACAATTTTTACGATTTATTCCCAAAAAATAATTTTAAGATTATAATGCAAATGTTCTGTTTCCAAAATTAATAGTTATTATATAATTTTTTTTGGTAGTATACTGAAGGTAATAAAAGAATAATTTGTTCTTTAGGCCAGCATTTTTTTATTTTTAGGTTTACGAACATCAGAATGAAAAAGTCCCGTAGGAGGAGGAAATAAAAAAAAAAAAAAAATTATATTTTGGATACATTATCGAATTTTCTACATTAATTTTTGCTTCTTTTTTATGCTTCCTATTCTTGCCACTGGACACATAAGGGTTACAAAGTTATACAGTGATATAAATCTTTTGATGTTGGACAACAAATACAGATTTTTTTAAAAAAAATCAATTTTTAAAATCTCTTTTAATATATCTTCATTTTTGTTTTTAATGTTTGTTAGGTAGAAATTATTCTAAAATATTAATATACTCGAGAACTATAAAAGTAATAATTCCTTTCATAAAACAGACAGGGAGTATTCCCAAGGTGTATTGAGGGATGGGGTGGAATTTTTTCAATTAAGTGTAAAATAATTTTTCTGGCTGCCATAAACGATACTATATGCCTGTATATATTTATATATTCTTGTTTTTAAATAGTTGACATATTGAATTACTTGAATTTTTGTGTGATGAAAGTTATGAAATTCTCTGCAGTTTTAATAATATTTACAATTACAGACAGTTATTTTGGATAAATTGTCACTTTGCAACAAAGTCGTCAGCATTTTATTGTTCTCTGAACGGGGGAAACGTTTTGAATGGCACTCCTATCGATAAATATTTACATTAAACCAAGCTTTAGTGCTGCTATGGACTTGACACAAATCTCCCTTCATTACCCGCCATGTTCATTTAAAACCGGAAGTACGAGTTCGTAAATTTGAAATAAAATTTGACATCGGAAAGAAAAAATTCTGTTTTTCTCAATTTTATTTTTTTTTCTGAAAATTCAAAAACTTGAGCGGCGGGTTTGTAAACCTAAAAATAAAAAAATGCTGGCCTTATCATGATCATGTTTATGAATTACTTGAATTTTTCTGTGATAAAAGTTGAAATTCTCTGCATAATAATATTCATCTTATGGATAAATTGTTATAAAACTATCAATAACATCCATTTTGGGTAGGCAGGTCACAAAAATTCAAAATTTATGGAATTACAAAATTCAAAATTTAACAACCTCTGTGATGGACTATTTCAGTACAAGCACATGGGTGTTTGCTTAATTTCAGGTGATTTGCTCCACTAATAAATTTTGTCAAAGGTTTAAATTTATAAAGGAAAAATAACAAAAAAAATTTTCATGCCATGACACCAGTAAGACTATCCAATACTATTTTTAAATGTAAATTTAATGTTTAACGAAATTAGAAATGAACTTCAGTAATATGTAACGAAATTAGAAATGAACTTCAGTAATATGTAACAGTAATTTATTCCTTTCAAGTTTTTGTGATTCAAAAGTCAATATTTTAAATACTTTATTACTTGTTACATTAAAAATGTAGTAAATCGAACATTGTTTGTTTCAGTTGGTGCTTCCTCTAGTGGTCGAGCGCGCTCAGATCCCACACACCAGCATCACTCACACCTCCATGTGCACTCACACTCCGCCCACCATGGAGGGGGGACCCAGTACCCCACAATGGAGTGTGAGAGTCCTGGTGGGAGTCAAGTGGGAAGCACAGCAGGAGGGACTCGGTCTCAGTACCCACAACAATCCTGGCCTCCAGAGGCCGGTCAAGGACAATCATCTGGTCACCATGGCAACAGTGCCACCTCTTCTCATGTACACATGTCTGGCCATAGACACCATTCCTCTCACCCTCACCACCACCACGCGGTGACCGCCCAGTCTCCTCCGTCAATGAATGCCTCGGTGCCACCTAATCTTGTGGGGCCCCCTCAGAGTGTTTTACTGAGTGGGCCCGTGTCCTCAGAACAGGTTGTGTATGGGACAAGGACGGGTTTCCCTGCCTCTGGCATGTCTGTAGATATGGTGCAGGCAGGGCACCACTCACATGCCAATATAGACCCTTCAATGAATATGCAATTACAGGGCTATCCCCAACAGTATGGTCAATACACTCAACAGAGCTGGCCTGGTGCAGGCTTTCCGTTTACATTGACGTCTAGCAGTGGGGGAACAGAACCCACTCCTGGACACGCTAGGACAGTGACAGAGCGTTCAGACGATTCACCCATGGTCGGTGTAATTGTACAGCAAAGTCCAGTAGTGATTCATTGATGCTAGTGATTCTGTGTTGTTTTCATTTCTGAGTTCTGTTCTTCGATGGGCCTCATTCATGGTGGCATTATAAAGAGGATACATTTCACAAGTCACAGATTCCAATAAAACAAGTGATCGAGACAGAACTACAAAACCCCATTGTAGTTCGCTTCCCGATGGAAGTCATGACGACGGTCCGTAGAGTCACAGACGGAGGTCCGAGGGTGGAATGCCTCACGATCAGACACAATAGGGCTGTGTTTTCCGGGTTCAATGAGCTTAAAATGCAATTTTATTTGGCTAAAGCATTCATATCAGTCTCAAACTGTTCAGATTAGTAATATTTAGTGGTCAGTTCCCTGTCAAGTTTTGCTGTGTGCATAGAAAGGTTTTGTTCATAATGTAACTCGAGATTTTTTGTTAGATTTGTAATTTTGAAGACTGAAACAGCTGGTATTTGTTATTAAAGAATGTATAATAATAATTTGCAAATTTCAAAATTTTCAAAAAATGTTGTGAAATTCTATTTCATTAATGCAATGTTAATATTATTGTTAAACAAGAACTGTATCTTGAATTATAAAAGAAAAAAAACATTGAAAAAATATTTAATTGACATAAAAATATTATTTTGACAGATAGTGTTATTTCTGTTTTAAATGACAGTAACTTTGGTGGTGACATGTTGTTAACTGGTCCTCTTGTATGGGAGCACCAGTATATGTTGGGTACTGACTTTTTATACTAGTCATATGAGACTTAGAGAGGTGTTACACGCAGACTGCTGCTGATTGTTTAATTAAAACACGTGATGTTTTGACAAATTGTAAATACTTCTATTGTACAGCCAAGTCATTTGTTTATAATTAGAAATAAGGGAAATGTGTAACATTTCTGTGTTTTAAGAGAGAGATTTTTTGAATGGTTATACTGCAAAACCTGCTCTTTTTTTCTCCACTGTCATCCAGGTCTTTTCTGATAAAATAATGCCACTGTATCACTGTATTCCATAACTGTGTCACTTGAAGGCCCTTGTCCAGATACTGACCAATTGTTTACTGAGTGTAGAGCTCAGATTTTACCAGGTATTTATCATGTCTGTCAAAGACAACAAGTGGTGATATGAAACTATTAAAGTTAAAATGCATTTACATGTATATAATTTTAAAACAAGAGGGAAATACTAAAGATGATTAATTCATAAGCTTTCAAGTATGAAATGATAGTGGCCTATGGAGGTAGGGGCAGATAAGTAAGCATTACTTGCATTCAGCAATGGGATTTGTAATATTTTTGATCAGACACAGACTTGAGCATTTATAAACTTGATAAAAGTAAGTTTGAGCTGATGCAGTGATTCCATGTTTTAGAGTATAAGTGGAACATGATAAAAGTATTTATTCTGAGAATGAACATATTAAAAGTGAAATGTCAGTGTTGTCAGAGTTTTAATATTTCTTTTACTGGCTATTTTTACAATGATTGTGATGGTCCAAAAGGTTTTATTGTACTTCATTGGATTTCTGTCTTGCATAATCAGATTTTTACTGAAAACAAGGTTAATTTTTTTAAAGGAATTTTTATTTGGCAACATATATTAAAATCATTGTCTGGTGTGAATTCTTATGAAATGATTTTTTAAAAATTTTGAGAGAGAGATGGGGAGAGAGAGAGAATCAATTATGATACAGTTGTTATGTTTTAAGTTCAGAATATGATGGGGGGAAATTTGGATTGCTATTTGTATTAAAGAATGGTCAGAGCATTTTTAGCTCTTGTCAAAAATTAAATATCTTGTTTTCATTTAAAGAAGCATGAAATGCCAAAAACAGGATATAACTACATGAACAAAATATATATATAAATAAAAAGTTTCATTAAATTGTCATTATTATATAGTCTTGTGTTTTCTTTCATGTTGAAGAGGTGGAGAATTTTGCACATTTTCATATCATACACTGAAGATTTATTTTAAAAGGAATTCTGTAATTATTTCTTGGAACATGCAATATACCGGTATTATTGTGAACAGTGGTTGGAAAAAAATAATGGAATGAATAAAACATACTTTTTGGAAATAGTACTAAGGACTTGGTATTCTCCATTAATAGGACCATTATTATTCATTCATCATGATCATACCAAGTATAGACTAAAATATTGGCAAATCGTTTACTTGAGCCACAGAGTACTTACAGTGAATTGGTGCATAATTTGCAACAGAAAAAAGACATGCAATTTGTCTACTTGGAAAATTACTATGTGGGAAATATTCAGTAGGTTTTCTTTCTGATTTACTGGTACTTAAGGACAGATGATACAAACAAACTTCTGTCAGAAAAATTGAAAATAACAACCTGAACCATGTTTCAGCGAGTAAACTGAACAAGTTTAACCGCGTAGTTTTAAAAATTTCATTCATATTTACACAAAAATGGAATGCGAAATGAAAAATATTTGTATAGATGAATAAGGATGGCTGCAGAAAGGTAGAATTTTGAACATCACAGAAGGTTTACAATTTCTTAATATTTTGGAAAATTATTAGTTGTATCATTTGCAACAAAAATAGGCCCAGAAATATATACCAATCCAGGCATCCATCTTTTTGTTTGTAACATTTGTTCTTAACTTGTATATAAAACAATATTAAGTCAAAATATTTTACACTGTAAAAGCCAATACTTCAACTCGCCCATACTCAGCCTAACAGATGCTAAATTTAACTCCTGAGATCTTAATTTTGAGCTTTTGCATTGACATATTGGAGCTGCTGCTCTACCTGTTTGCAGAAATAGAGGTTTTATTGTGAAAGATGCATGGAACTTAATAAATTAGGTGTGTTGGACCTAATGGTGAATAACCAGAATTTCTTTCTAGTAAGTGTTTATAATGTAAGACATGACTTTTATACTGTACATGTACATAAATTGGCTTATTGAAATTTTAGTGCAATCAATGGGTGTTGAGTTCCTATCACTTCTATCATGGAAAATGAGTTTCGATGCTTCCAATGACTTGATCAACCCAATAACCTGCTCAAAATTGCAAAAATATGCATTTTCTGACTACTTCCGGTGTTAATTATTGCTACAAACTTCTGCACTGTATCTGTGTCTGTTGTACAAGTCCTCCAATATCTACAGTGTCTCTGTCTGTTCTATAAGTCCTCCAATGTCTACAGTATCTCTGTGTCTGTTCTATAAGTCCTCCTATGTCTACAATATCTCTGTGTCTGTTCTATAAGTCCTCCTATGTCTACAGTGTCTCCATGTCTGTTGTATAAGTCCTCCAATGTCTACAATATCTCTGTGTCTGTTGTATAAGTCCTCCAATGTCTACAGTATCTCTGTGTCTGTTCTATAAGTCCTCCAATGTCTACAGTATCTCTGTGTCTGTTCTATAAGTCCTCCAATGTCTACAGTATCTCTGTGTCTGTTCTATAAGTCCTCCAATGTCTACAGGGTCTATGTGTCTGTTCTATAAGTCCTCCAATGTCTGCAGTGTCTGTTCTTCAAGTCCTCCAATGTCTACAGTGTCTATGTGTCTGTTCTATAAGTCCTCCAATGTCTACAGTATCTTTGTGTCTGTTCTATAAGTCCTCCAATGTCTACAATATCTCTGTGTCTGTTGTATAAGTCCTCCAATGTCTACAGTGTCTATGTGTCTGTTCTATAAGTCCTCCAATGTCTGCAGTGTCTGTTCTTCAAGTCCTCCAATGTCTACAGTATCTCTGTGTCTGTTCTATAAGTCTTCTAATGTCTACATGCAGTATCTAACTGTTCTATATAAGTCCTCCAATGTCTACAGTATCTAACTGTTCTATAAGTCCTCCAATGTCTGCAGTTTCTTTGTGTCTGTTCTATAACTCTTCCAATGTCTACAGTGTCTATGTGTCTGCTCTATAAGTCCCCCAATGTCTACAGTGTCTATGTGTCTGTTCTGTAACTCCTCCAATGTCTACAGTGTCTGTTCTTCAAGTCCTGCAATGTCTACAGTATCTCTGTGTCTGTTCTATAAGTCTTCCAATGTCTACAGTATCTAACTGTTCTATAAGTCCTCCAATGTCTACAGTATCTATGTGTCTGTTCTATAAGTCCTCCAATATCTACAGTATATCTCTGTCTGTTCTATAAGTCCTCTAATGTCTACAGTGTTTCTGTGTCTGTTCTATAAGTCCTCCAATGTCTACAGTTTCTCTGTGTCTGTTCCATAAGTCCTCTAATGTCTACAGTGTCTGTTCTATAAGTTCTCCAATGTCTACAGTATCTCTGTGTCTGTTCTATAAGTCCTCCAATGTCTAAAATATCTCTGTGTCTGTTCTATTAGTACTCCAATGTCTACAGTATCTCTGTGTCTGTTCTATAAGTCCTCCCATGTCTACAGTATCTCTTGTGGCTGTTCTACTAGTCCTCCAATGTCTACAGTGTCTCTGTGTCTGTTCTATAAGTCCTCCAATGTCTACAGTATCTCTATGTCTGTTCTATAAGTCCTCCAATGTCTACAGTATCTCTATGTCTGTTCTATAAGTCCTCCAATGTCTACAGTATCTCTGTGTCTGTTCTATAAGTCCTTTAATGTCTACAGGGTCTCTGTGTCTGTTCTTCAAGTCCTCCAATGTATACAGTATGTCTGTGTCTGTTGTATAAGTCCTCCAATGTCTACAGTATGTCTGTGTCTGTTGTATAAGTCCTCCAATGTCTACAGTATCTCTGTCCTTTAAGTCCTCCAATGTCTACAGTGTGTCTGCTGTATAACTCTTCCAATGTCTACAATGTCTGTTCTTCAAGTCCTCCAATGTCTACAGTATCTCCGTGTCTGTTCATCAAGTCCTCTAATCCCTGTATCTCTTTAGTCTGTTTTCTATGTCATCTGATATAATGATGTGTTATTGTCTGTTCTTCGAGTAATCAATTATGCAATAGCCTTATGTCTGTTCTCTTCTTTAATGTTTAATAGGTCCAAGTGTATGTGCCACGTCCTCCAATGTCTACATCATTTCAGTGTCTATTCTATAAGGCTTAAAATCCTATAGTATATGCAGTTATGTGTCTTCTCTTTAAGCCCTTATAAAATCTTTTAGTGTGTTTTTTTTTATATAGTATGAAATATAATGGGGAACTTTTTATGCCACTCAATATCGCTTATTATCTGATGTTCTACAAAAAGTGTCTAACTCTGTGGTATAAATTTTACTCCATTTTTATAAAATCCAAAATGAATCTTGTGTCTTAATCTGTGTTGCAAATGTCACTCCATAAGAATCTCTTTTTGGTGTTAAATATCGGATCTTCATGTCTTTAAACTTTGGTGTAGCTAGCAATCCGTTAATATGATCATTTAAAACCAAATTCTCACTATACATTAAATCTGCCAATCCATTTTGGTCCATTTATGAAGTTAACACTGATAACTGATATATTTTACCTATTAGAAACCTAGTCTAGGCCAGCATTTTTTGCAATATTATATTCTGGCTAAGAATGTATTAAATCTCGTATACTGAAGCTTATGTTTTGATACCATGGTATCTGTACTTCTTTTTTCAAATACTTTATTAAATTAAAACAAATATCTTTTCAATTTTTATTTATCACTGAAGTGATTGCACAAACTGTGATGAAATATTTTTAAAATTGTCTTCAAAGCAAAACAATGAATAACAAAGATTGCAGACTTCATAAATACAAAACAAAACCATCATGTCAGCTTCAAGAATTAATTTTTGTACAATAAGAGACATGTTCCGTAATAAACAGGTTTAACTGTGTTTGTAACAAAATCAGTGTTGTTCATGTACAATTATAAATAACACTGAAATAATGCTGTAATTTCTTTGTCACGTTTACATATAAAAAGCCTAGAATTCAATGTATATAAGAACTTAGGTATTTATAACAATACCTAAAAATATATTTAAATAACATGTTTTAAAAATAAGAGTAAATTCAACAACAGGAAGTATTTAAAATGATAAATCATTCACATTCATAAATTTCATAAAAGCTTCCATTTCATCAAAATTTTCAGCAGCTGATGTAAAACATACAATATTGACAAGCATTGAAAAGAACGGTGATCTTTATACATGGGTACAGTTATTACATGTATAAGGATATGATGATATTAACTAGGCACTGCATGTCTATATTTCATGTCAGTTGTACTGTTGAGGTAAAAATTCTATGAAATAAATATCAATGTTGGTTTTTACATTATATATCACATAGGAATGATACAGTTGAACTTTGGTATCTGGAACACTGATAAACTGAATATCATGAACACATGTCCTTGGAAACCCAACCACTTATTGAAGTAATTTACCCTCGATATCTCAAAATCCTTGAATATCTGGAAATATTTTTTGGTCTCATTGAGTACAAGATAAGGAGGTCTGACTGTAATTACAAGTGAAAATTTTTTCCGTTACCAGAAAAAATGAATCCACAGATGATGTAAAATGAATTACAATATCAAGATATATTACCCTGAATTGATAATTATCAATTAATATCGTTTTATCCCTAATAATATTTGTAAGAACAACAGAACCTGGAATCGTCTTCAATGGCTACTCCTTTCTAAAAGTAAAATTTAAACAAAAAATCTCAAAAATTATTGCTTTGACTTTCCCACACTTGTGAACTAGTCAAGTACTACATACATGAGCATTTAGCAGCAGTCAGTTTACGTCAGTTTGTAAAATGGGTAATAATTAATAATAATTAGTACATAAAGAAACTGGAGATATAAAATAATAATTTAAAATAAATTAATATGGCACTTAAATCTACATCTGTTGGGGCTATTTAACATTTTTAATGACATAAGACATATAAATATGGAGGTTACTCCTAGAACTGAAGCACGCTGTGTGGTTGCATATTTTAGGCATCTGGGTTAATTGAAACAAATGTTCCATATTGCATCCCTGTCATTTTTAGGAAATACAAAATACATACAATTTAACACTTGTAAAGAAAGCTCCTAGACATTATAAGAACTATCCAGCTTCTATAAAGACATTAAGGGTCATGACCTACCTCTGATCAGAGGATCAGCAAAATGTTTACTTTAGTACACTCAAATCATTAAAACTACTGTGTAAATCACTCAAATATTCAAAGTACAAAAATAGCACTCTTAACTAGATTAATATGCTGAATGTATTCTCAATTATGCATTGCCTTATAAAAACAGAACATGCTTTGTGCTGAGCTTTGTTTTTCTACGTATATGCAGTTTACATATCCTTTAAAATTTTCTAAAACAATCACAGTCATTAAGTCAAAGAAAAATAACAACAATTATGTCAACTGAATAACAAATATATGAAAGACATAATAAATATAATAAACTTGACAGTCACTCAGAAATATCAGGCGTTTACAAATAACAAACAAAAATATCTTATTCAACACAATTAATCTTTTAAGGATTAAATTGTGAAATAAAGTTCATTATTCCTCTTTTTTCATCATCCCTCCATTTGATTTACCATTGGAGTTATCTTTCTTGAGGATGTCTTGAATGGGGCCACATCCTTCGAAGGAGCTAGGGTTTCTAAAGGAGCCCCCAATCCTGTCCCACAACGTAAAGAACTGACCGTAGTTATAATTATAGAACAGGTGGTGGTCAGTGTGGTGCGCGGAGCCATTGACGAGTGGCTTCAGAAGACTGGGCACACGGTAATCTCCGTCATGGATGGACACGGTCCAGATGTTTACAAACACAAACAGACATAAGTAGGTCACCTTGTGTAGTGGGAACAGGAAAGGGTAGATGTGGTAGGGGCAGCTCTGGAGGAATCCATCCAGGGGGTGAAATGCATGGGAGGCGAATGGAGTGGGGATCTTCCATCGGTGGTGGTCTTTGTGGATGTATTTGTAGATAAGTTTGTGGTGGAGGAATCGGTGGATCCAATAAATGCAGGCATCAGTAAACAAAATAAAGCTCACTATGCTGAATAGGATGCTACACCAGCCTACAATAGATATCAAGAGGCCCATGGGCCACATCGCTCACCTGAGCACTGTGGTTAGGAAAAATGCAAAAATCAATCAGTTTTGAAAAGCTTAATTGCATGTGGTCCCAACCTACCCCTAAAAGGCAGAAGGGGGGATGATTTGAATTAATTTGAATCTACAAACAATGCTTTCATATTTCTTTGACTTACTGTGGCTTTTTTTCCCTATACATTTGAACTTTCATTTTTGCCCCACCCTATCCCCTGCAGTCCTGATTTGAACAAATTTGAATCTACACTAACTGAGGACGCTTCCTTATAAATATGACCAATCATGGCCTTGTTGTTCTTAAGAAAAGGATTTTTAAAGATTTTTCCTACATATTTCTATGTAAAACTTTGGTCATCCATTGAGGCCCCACTCAACCCCGAGGTCATGATATGAACAAACTTGAATTTACACTACCTGGGGATGCTTCCACATTAGTTTCATCTTTCCCTACCCAGTGGTTCTTTAGAAGAAGATTTTTAAAACATGCCACCAAAATTTCATTATTTCTTATCGCCCCTTGAGTAAGGGTGTGGCCCTTTTTTTGAACAAACTTGAATCCCCTTTACCCTAAGACGCTTTGTGGTGTGTTTGGTTGAAACTGGCCAAGGGGTTCTCGAGAAGAAGTCGAAAATGTGAAAAGTTTACAGACAGACGGACAGACAGATGGATGAACTGACAGACTACAGATAAATTGTGATCAGAAAAGCTCACTTGAGCTCTCAGCTCAGGTGAGCTAAAAATCACACTCAGTTTGATCTTTCAACCTCACAATCAATAGGGTTTTCTTTCTCTCTCTAAGGAGAAGAAATAATAAATTGATGGACAGAAAGACGAAAGGATTGGCAGACTCAAATACAATATACATATATCCTTCATTTTTATTGAAAGTGGGGAAAAACACAAAAAACAGTTCATAGTTACTTCCAAAAAGCAATTCCTAAATCATGATTTTTAAACATAACTAATCAAGCCACACAAGTGAGAAAGGTTATACATGTAAATGAAATTTCAATAATGTACCTACCAGCAAAAGAATTGGGGACTGTGTCATACAGTTTACTGTAACCTCTGACCTCAATAAAAAACAAGGCAACCGTAGGAAGGGACATCAGAGGAACTGATTTAATGGTGTACAATATCTCCAGTTTTATCTGGTCCTAAAAATAGAGACAATACAGTTAACTCCCTTTATAAAGACTTAATGGTGTACAATATCTCTAGCTTTATCTGGTCCTAAAATAGAAACAACACAGTTAACTCCCTTTATACAGACTTAATGGTGTACAATATCTCTAGCTTTATGTGGTCCTAAAATAGTGACAACACAGTTAACTCCCTTTATACAGACTTAATGGTGTACAATATCTCTAACTTTATCTGGTCCTAAAATAGAAACAACACAGTTAACTCCCTTTATACAGACTTAATGGTGTACAATATCTCTAGATTTATCTGGTCCTAAAATAGAAACAACACAGTTAACTCCCTTTATACAGACTTAATGGTGTACAATATCTCTAGCTTTATATGGTCCTAAAATAGTGATAACACAGTTAACTCCCTTTATACAGACTTAATGGTGTACAATATCTCTAACTTTATCTGGTCCTAAAATAGAAACAACACAGTTAACTCCCTTTATACAGACTTAATGGTGTACAATATCTCTAGCTTTATCTGGTCCTAAAATAGAAACAACACAGTTAACTCCCTTTATACAGACTTAATGGTGTACAATATCTCTAACTTTATCTGGTTCTAAAATAGAGATAATTCAGTAAGTCCCTTTATACAGAATGGGGTACAATTTCATCCTAAAATAAAAACATGTTTAACTCCTCTCTTTATACAGATTTAATAATACACAATAAATGAATGATATACAAATAAAGTACTTCTACATGTATACCTTGAGGAATAAAGGATGCTTCATCAGCCTGGAATCGAATATTGTGAAGTAGCTGAGAGTGGCTGTCATGAAGTAGAGGATGTACCCCCCAATGTTGCTGATCAGCAGGAGACTGAGTACCTGTCTTACGGGGGAGTCCTCGGCCCAGGTAGAGGGGTACACATAGGGCGTCAGGACAAACCTGTCTGCATAACTCAGTACGAGGTCCATCCTGTGAACGGGGTGAAAATACTAAACACTGGATGTTAAACTCAATATCATGTCTTTATATTTCAAAATGATTATAATTAATTTCTATATACATTTCATATAAAAGTAACTCTCAAATTCAATTAAATAATGAAAAAAAATACAAAGAAGCTTTGCCAATTTCCTTCTGAGGTACAATTAATTGTCTTTACTTTTACCTTTTTAATAAATCTTATGAAGTTTCTAGCTGCTTTAAGTTTGTACTTTCAAATTTCTCCAATTTTTTTGTTCTGTAAAACTGAAAGCATAAAAAAAGAAAAAATTATTTAATCTCCATCTTAAAAACATATACTTGTACTTGAATTCTTAAGCATTCTGTTATAAACAAGGAGATAAAACTGAAAATAAAAGGTCACAGGTCAATTTACATATTTGACACCAAATATAACTTTAGTACATGTACATGCATATTGACACCCCTTCATCAAAAACTGGTCTTGTTCAAACTTGAAACTACACTCATTAGTAAAGTTAACCATTAACATAAATTTTATCTTTTGTTGTCCAGCTCAAGTACCTCAATGTACCGTATAATCCCTATTAACCGCCCCTGCCCCTATAAGCGCCCCCCTTAGGTTTTTTCAACTGTCAGGAAATAAGGGCCCCTGTACAGTGATTAAGAAAGACTAGAACTGTATCAAAAGTCTGCAAAAATTTGGAGAAAATGAAAATGAAACTTGTTTATTATCCAATTTCTTGGTGGAAAATGATTCATTTAGCATACTTTGGGTTGATTATCTTCATTTAAAGTAAAGTTAGGCCTATATATTATTTTGGAGATTCTTTGAATCATTTTTTTTTTTCAAAATATATTTTGAAGTTAAGATATGATATTAAATAATACAAAGAGAATACCAAAATAACCTCTCCCTTTTTGCAATTTTCTAAGAGCTCGGGGCGGTTAATAGGGATTATACGGTATTAACTTATTAAAACAATAAAAGACAAAGTGTATAATAGGGTGATATTGTCATTGGACTCTATTACTAAAGCAGAAATAAGGTTGACTTATTCTGGGTGCCAGGAAAATCTTTCGTTCTTATAAGGCCAAAACAAAAAATAGTCTTGTTTCCTGCTACCCGACCTACCCTATTTTTTTTGCACCCGACCCTAAAGTTTTTTTTTAGCTTTTGGGGAAAAAATTCTAAATTTTAGAAATTTCATGTTTCAAAAGTGAAAAAAATTATATATTCTCAAGTTGTATTTCATGAAATATATGTTTAAAATATGGACTTTCGTAAAATTCCACTTGAGTTGTGCATCAAAAGACATGGAATTTAACTTTGAAAGATTATATTGACCTTAGCTATCTAAGCAATGACATGTTCAATTTGGTTTTGTAGTAGTTCATATCCAAAAAAATACCGTTGGAAAGAATAAAACAAAATTAAAAAATAAAATAATTTTCCTACCTACCTACCCTATTTTTTTCTGGCTGGTAGCAGGAAACAAGACTATTATTTTTTTTGGCCTAATACATGCAACCATTTTATTGATAAGGAAATAAAAATCAACTGATCGACTGAAGACTCAACAAAATTTAACATACAAATAGAAAATAGTTATACCTGTAAAAAATTACACCTGATCTTTTATTGAAATATTCAATGACAATACTATACACTTAAGTTTAACTTACCGAGTAATACCCTACATGCATTATGTATAATAACTTCTGTCACCAGCTGATAATATTGACAGACAAATCACTCTATCACGAGGTCAAATCTGAGGATGCATGCCAAGGATAAAGTTGAATCATTTTATTGTATGTCGGTCAAAAATAATACATTTACATTAATCAGATGTTGTTAAAACAAACTATTTTTAAATGAAAAAAAATCATCAAATATTAATCATCAGAGCTAATCTCTCTGGAAAAGGCTTAACGTTAGTCAAGTTAGTGACAGACTAGATTTTATACATCATCAACATCAAAACAATACAGGTACTGACAGTTACATGAGGAACATCTAATTAAATCGTTTCTTATTTTTAAAAAAATCCAATTAAAGTCCTTACCATACAATTTTATAATTCAATCAAAGAAATCATGACGGATTTAGAAATCGCCGTTGATTATTTACACAGAAATTTGTTAACTCGTACTTCGTGAAAAGAACAATTTTAAGAACGACTTGCCCAGCTCTGAAGGTCATCGGGGGAGCCATGTCGAAAATAGTGAGATTGGCCAACAGAGGCGTCGAATTAACAAAGAAATATGGCAACATAGCATGGAACGACTATATAAACAAAGGTACTTTCAACTGATAAATAAATTCTACCCCCTATCTCAATTTTCCACCACAACTCTTTAATATCGAGAGGTTGAAAATCAACTCTTGTGTCTGTACTCACTTTTAGGTTACCGGTTTCTCATTCTCTGTAAATATGACTCTTAGAGGAATGATATATTCTTTAAAAATCTTTTTTATTATTTGCTTAAATCAGTGAGATTGTAAAAAATATTCACTGTTGCTAATTTTTCCCTGTTTGTTTGGAGGAAATTCAGACCACAGGCAACTGAAGTATGGATAATATACCCCCCCCCCCCTTTTTGTTAATGAAAAAAAAAATGTAAGAGTGTATAATATCTCAAAAATATAAAATTTCCCCGTCAAACACATCTGTATGTAGTTATATGCAAGCAGATTGTACTTTTTCTTACGTTTAAAGAATGACCCTATTCGGTATCTAATAAAAATACACAAGGTAACCGTAAGAAACAAAAATTATAAACAAACAGGGGGTTCCCCGCTTCGAGGCAGATTTCCAAGGTAATAATAGTGTTACCTATCATAATTTTGTAAGCACCCTGTCAGGGAGATGTTCTCCTACTGAAGTATTTAACACAAACCCCGCCATTAATGTTTAATATGCCGTAATCGGACGATTTATTAATCGGATACATAAAATTTTCTCCATTGGCAGCGTTGGAGGAGGTTTTAGAGTCGCACTTCTGTATCGCTTTATCTGATTGGTTAATTGTGATATAGTGTAAATATCTAACCAATCAGCATGATCAGATAAAGCGAAACAGAAGTGCGACTCCAAAACCTCCTCCAACGCTGCCAATGAAGAAAATTTTATGTATCCGATTAATAAATCGTCCGATTACGGCATATTAAACATTAATGGCGGGGTTTGTGTTAAATACTTCAGTAGGAGAACATCTCCCTGACAGAGTGCTTGCAAAATCATGATAGGTAACACTATTATTACCTTGGAAATCTGCCTCGAAGCGGGGAACCCCCTGTTTGTTTATAATTTTTGTTTCTTACCTTGTGTATTTTTATTATACCGAATAGGGTCATTCTTTAAACGTGAGAAAAAGTACAATCTGCTTGCATATAACAACATATAGATGTGTTTGACGGGGAAATTTTATATTTTTGAGATATTATACACTCTTACATTTTTTTTCATTAACAAAAAAAAGGGGGGTATTATCCATACTTCAGGTGCCTGTGATTCAGACCTTGGGCACTTGGTTTGAGGAGGATGTATTTTACATATTATGTTTTCTAGCTGTATCTGAAAACAATAATTAAAATAAATCGAAAAACTTGCTAAAATTAGCACGTTTTAAATATATCATATGTATACAGTATTTAAAAAAGTTAAATTATGTCAATTGCAATGATTTTAGTGAGCATCCCATTTCACACTTGATTTTAATGTTTACACTTTTCCAACCAGTGCAGGATGAACTTTAGCATTGAAAATGATATGGCCTTTCAAATGTCTGCCATTTTGAACTTGCCATATATATAAAGCATGTAACAAACTAAAACATTCTTGATAACTAGCATTGCAACTGAAAGCAACTACATGTAACTATGTAAAATGTCAAGATGTCTTGAAATTACACAGAAAGTCTAGAGAGGTCAGAATCCATGCCAAACGTTTGCTCTCAAAACTTTCTATGCTATTTTAATCTACAATTATTTCTACTTGTTAATTACGAATTGAATCTCTTGACTTTTTTCCAGTTGCCAAATGTCAGGCCAATGGCCAGACGATGTCTCGCATCCAGTTACTAACATTATATGTGAAAGCAGAACTAGGACCCCCAAGTCCAGCACAGGCTAGGGAAAGCATCGCTAAATTTATGGACCTCCCTTGGTCACTTACAAGAGAGAGGCTGATGAACATGACTACAAAAGTAAGTTATTATACCCCCGCAAACGAAGTTTAGGGGGGTATATTGGAATCACCATGTCCGTCTGTCCGTCTGTCTGTAGACAAGATTTTGTCCAGACCGTTTCTCAGAAACTGTTAGATGGATTAGTCTGAAAATTTATACACTTATTATTCACCATATGAAGGTGTGCACCTGGGATTTTCATCATGATTGGATGATTTTTCTGCATTTTACAGGCGTTTTTTCTTTTTTATTTTGTGATTTTGTTTGGCTCATAACTAGAAAACTATTAGACTTACAATCATCAAACTTGGACAATTTATGCATCTTGGGTAGACGGTGTGTCACGACCTATTTCAAGGTCACTGTGACCTTTAATTTAAGTGATTTTTTTAAAAAAAACTAAGTCTTTAAAATTTTAAATTTCATAATCCTAAAAAATGTAAAAATATAGTTGTATCCTTATTAAAAATTGCTAAATTAAGTAAAAACTTATTTTTTATCATATACTTTACAGCAAATTCTATAACAAATGTTAATGATTTGAGAGGAATTCAGTTTGTCCCATGGGCATAATTATCAAGCACTGGTCAAGGAGAATTTTTGATAGCAGAAATGTGCATGTCAAATTAGAGAGAAATTAATGAGTTCATTGTCGGGAGTTAACTGGCAAGAGCATCTCTAGATCTAATCTTAATTTATCTCTTGGGAGTTGGGCAAAAAGAAATGGCCTTATAGTTGCTTGTGTTAATTAAGAGTTCTTGATGGCTGTAGTTCAGATAAAGATCTTTCAATTGGTGTAATGTAATTAAAACAAATTGATGTTTTAGTGTATGATGAAAACTGAATTAGTATTGTATAATATAATTAAAATTAATTATACATGCGTTCATTGAAAAAAAATTACATTTCAATTTTTATATATTTGCAACAAATTGCAGTCATGTCTCACTTAGAATTTTATAGTCTAAAGAATAATTAATTTTTGATTTTTTTCTATTAGACTGTAGCATTTCCATTATTTCATAAAATATGCATTAAACAATTTAAAGCTGCAGATGGATATTTGTTAAGCTCTAACACAGCCAGTTTAGAATTATATGATGTATTATTTGTTTTAATTAATCCCTACACTGTAAGTCTCTTAGAGATGTATGTACAATATTTTAAACATGATAAGAAATGGAAATTAGATCATTGAAATCTGTGTCAATCTGTTAATCAAGGTTACTTAATTTTCTTGCACCCTAACCAATTTATGATTATCGAACAATGTTTGATGGGCGTATCATGCTGTGGCAAGGCACTTTATTAGACAATAGTGAATACCTCTTACTAGATCCATAAAATATTTCTGAATAGGCACCTACTCTGAAAAACCCAGCGGGGGTATTTGTCCCTATTGGACAGTTCTAGTTGTTATATTACTAAAGAAAAAGTGACATTCCATATTGCTCATTTTTGTAGACTTTATATAAAATTTAATACCCAATCATTTATGATGCAGTGACAGATGTCAGTTATTTCTAAGCTGTACTTTGATTGAAAAAAGTAAAATCTGCAGGTTGTAACATTGTTAAAGTAAAGTGTAAATAAAGCAACATAACTGATGATTACTGATCATTACAGGGTTATATACATTACCATACAAGGAAATGAAGTTCACTTTTTGCAAAACATTGGAAACTTGGATATAATTTAAATTACATTCACTTGAAAATAAAATGATAATTCCTTGTGTAATTTTTTTCAGGAAGCCCTCTGTAAGTCTCTGCTTGTAGTTGACGTTGCTATCTTTTTTGCTATCGGTGAAGTGATTGGCCGCGGAGACTGGGCCGGCTACCCCATCAAGGGAGCATCAGGCTGGGAATTCTCTAACATGTACACAGAGGAAGACATCAAAAAGATGGACGCCGAGAGGGCAAAGACGAACCAAGCGTAGCGTGAATGGAACCAACGAAGTGTAGCATTAACTGGACATTTATAGACAAAACTTAAATCAGTGATTGTGTTTGTTATTTAATACTGAAATAAAAAACAGAACACATTATATTTATGTTGCTATTATTTCTCTTTTTCTGCTTCTGAGGTATAGCATATTGTAGATTTTTAGTGTAGTATGATATATATTTACATTAATCTATAATTCATTCAGAGCACTTATGTATGATGGAGGGTAGAATGTGGGATTTTTTTCTGTTTTTTTTTTTTTTTTTCAACTGTTCTTTTGATAAGTTCATACATTTAGAATACAAAATCGACAATTAAAAGACAGAAAACTCAAATTCTTTTGCAGTATGTTCAGATAACAGCCAATAACAAGAGTAGACAACTCTGTCTATAATGATAGCTATACATGGACATATGATATTTTTATGAATAGAGCAAGTGAAAAAAAGATAACGGGCAAGCATCTCCAACTAGATTTATTTGTTTAAATTAGTACTGTCACAATAAAATGTTACATTATCATATACCAGTATAAAGATACTAGGAGAAGAATTTTTGTTATGCCCCGCCATGAATAGGCATATAGTGTTTGTCATGTCCGTCTTCCGTCTTTCTGTCCTTCCGTCACACTTTGCGTTTAGCTCTGTTCAAAGCTTAGTTTCAAAGAAACTATCCAAGATATTTTCATCAAACTTCACATGCTGATAGATATTGATGAGAGCTTTGCAACTGCATCAACATTTTTTGACCTTGACCTTTACTTTGACCTTGACCTCACTTTTCTTAAATAAGTGTTTAGCTCAGTTTTAAACATACTGTTCAAGATGGTATTATCAAACATCACATGTTAATACATACTGATGAGAGCTATGCAACTGCATCACCATTTTTAACCTTGACCTTTCCTTTGACCTCTTGACCTCACTTTTCTCAATTAAGTGCTTTGCTCAGTTTTAAATGTACCATTCAAGATAGTGTCATCAAACTTCATATTCTGGTACATACTGAAGAGACCTATTCAACTACATTAACATTTTTGACCTCAACCTTTCCTTGATCTCACTTTTCTTAAATTAATGTTTAGCTCGGTTTTTAAGAAACCATCCAAGATATTTTCATCAAACTTAATTAACTGATAAATACTGATGAGAGCTTTTCAACTGCATCAACATTTTGACCTTGACCTTTCCATTGACCTTGACCTCACTTTTCCTAAATCAGTGTCAAACTTCATATGCTGATATATACTGATGTGAACAATTCAACTGCATCAACATTTTTTACCTTGACCTTTCATTTGACCTGGACCTCACTTTTATCAAATTGTGTTTAAGTTGGCTCTAAAGAAATCATTGAAGAGATTTTATCAAACTTCATATGTTGATACAAATTGATGAGAGATAGTAACTGCATCAACATTTTTGATCTTGACCTTCATTTGACCTTGACCTCAATTTTACCAAATTGGTTTAAGTCAGTTTTAAATAAAACATTCGCAGTATTTTTTTCAACTTTATATGCTGATGAGAGCTTTTCAATTGCATCAACATTTTTTGACCGCGGCATTTCCTGTGACCTTGACCTCACTTTAAAGAAATTAGTGTCAAACTTCATATGCTGATACATACTAATGTAAGCAATTCAACTACATCACCATTCAAGATATTCTGATCAAATTTCATACAGTTATACAAATTTTCATGTTGCATTACTAATATACCCTCGGCGGGGCATTCATGTCCTATGGACATATTTCTAGTTTTAAAAATCCCTTCTGAAGAAAAATAATGTAAACAAAAAAGGATACCACATCAGTAATTTTAATTTTTACATAAAAAAGATGATTTGGCTGTTGTGTTAAATGTAAGAGGGGTTTTGGTAACCAGTATTTTCTGCTCTAGAAATCCCATAAGCAAGAGGTATATGAAGCATGATGCTGATCCCAGACTGTGGCCTCACCATACTCCTAGTTCAGGCATATCAATATGAAACAAGATGTGTTTGCGAAACACTGATGCTACTGTATGGCAGATTTTGGCAAGGTGAAGAGATGAAAAATGTTGTTACCCAAAGAGAGGACTTGTCTCAATAATTGTACCCATGAAATATGAAAGCCCAAGAAGTTACCATTCAAAAATTGTGGCTAAGAACAAACAGTTTATAATGTGATTTAAACTCCAAGGTCAAAAGGCCAATAAGTGGTAGCCAAGGGCATAAGGAATGTACATGACCAAGGTTACATTTTACAAGAATAACTCAAACTCCAAGGTCATGGTCAATATTATTGGTATCCAAACAAAGGTCTTGCCACAAGATACATCTTTGAAATATAAAGACCCTAAAAATAACTATTCAAAAGTTATGATTAAGGTTAAAGTGTTTTAAAAGTGGGTAAAACTCAAAGATTTTAAGTCAAAAGTACTTACATCCTTAGAAAGGTTTTATCACAAAAATACATGTGAAGTATGCCTTAGAAAGGTTTTATCACAAAAATACATGTGAAGTATGAAAGCCCTAGCACCAACTGGTCAAAAGTTCTGGCCAAGATTAAATTTGGGAATTTTTTTTGCAAAAGTGCATGGGTCAAACTCCGCGTCAAGGTCAAAAGGTAAAACTTGTTCATACCCAAAGGAAAGCCTTGCCACAAGGAATATGCATGTGAAATATAAAAGTCATAGCTCCAACCAATCGAGTTTTATGGGCAAGATTAAAGTTTTTGCAGAGACAGACAGACAGATAAATGGACGGAAAGAGCACTTGTTATTACTAGTCCCCCACATCTGTTGACAGTGATGCTAACTTGTTTACGATTATCAAGTTTGTAACTGTTTTGGGAATTCGGAACGGAGGCTAGAATGTCATATTTGTACGAAAATGGAAACAACAGGTGCGAGAAATGACGGTATCTACCTCTCCTGGGGGTGGAAGCTGTAGGTATAGATAGACAGGGAGCGTGTAGGGGGGTATTGTTAAGGTATTGTGCAGACTAGGATAAGCATTTATAATCGTAGCGTTCTCTGCGCTAAATATCGTGGTTACATAAAACATTTTAATATACACTCTGTATTTCACAGTTTTCAAAGAAAGAGGGCGTATAAGGCGTGCACAATCCCCCGCTCTGAGACAAAATATTTCTCAATTTTCAAAATTCACAGAAAAGTTATATTTTTCTAAAATCATGTTCTCAGTAATGTCCTCTTCAAAACATGTTATTATTTTATTTTACTGAACGACTTATCATTTGATAATCTTTATTTCAAAGTTGACAGTTCTGCATATTTAGTGGAAAATGGGTTTAATGGAGCTATAAAAAACGAATTTTGAACATGAATGGGTCAAGTCTCCATTTTTCGTGAACGCTTAAATGATGGAAACGTAAATGTAAAATCTATTTCATTTGTCCAAAAAATGGAATCTGAACCCATTCTATATGAAAATCGAACTTTTCTGAAACAAATTACGCTTCAACAAACCCGTTCATTTAAATCATACTGAAAGACGTCAATAATGCATAAACTTCGTAGCGTAGTGGTTAAAGCGGTTGGTCTTGGACCAAACCTGCGCTATGGAGAGAGTTCGAATCATACGTGAAGATTTTTCTTTTTTGTTTTCAAATGTCTTAAAAACATGAGTGAAAAATATATTATTAATAAATTATTTAAACAATGAAATACAGAATTTGATGTGTAAAAGATGATATAAACCATAAAATTTTGAAAAAAATACAACTTTTAGAATTAAGAAATGTCTTTTTTCAGAGCGGGGGATTGTCCTCGCCTTGTACGCCTCCATTCTTTTTGTTGTAACCTTCTTCAACAGAATCTGGAATTTCATTTTAAAAATATTTACAATTTTTTTTTAAATGTTGATGTTGATGGAGATAACGAAAACCTGTCCACTTTTCTATACTTGTATTCAGAGTTTTCTGTGCTTCTATCTGTTTAGGAGACCAAGCTATGGCGAGACTTTTGATCACGGCCTTCATCTTTATTACTCTAGCTGAGAGTGTAAGGAACATTCCAGTGAGCACACTTTATTCGGTCCATCCTCGCTGTGCAAAGGCCTGCTCCGAAATGTTGATGGAAAGATATCCCTCCCAGAATCTATGTTGGTAAGAATTCAATTCAACAGATCATCCAGTTTACTTTGACGAATTTACTAACAAGGTTTTTTTTTTTGGTCAAAAAATTAATTACTACAATATGTTGTCTAAATAATTTGTATGAAAAAGGGATGAACGACAAGAGAGCTACAGTGCCACACATTGAAAAACAATCATCTTGGATTAACTTGAACAATGCATTGGAGATTTCGGATTTTGAATACTTTATGCAAACATTTTTATATTTTTGTTCTAGTTTTTATGCACGTTGGGAAAACTGTGTGAGAACGTATACCACATGTGACCGAGATGAGGACATGTTACTTTGGATTGACGAAGGCTGTAAGATGTGCAAAACCACACGGGTTAAATGGAACAAACGAAGAAGGAGTTACTCAAAGAGTAGCAAATGGACCGACCTACATAATTATACGTCAGGCAAGCACAATAAAGGACTTAAGTTCTGACATTCTGGGTTTGTTTTGTTGATCAAGCAGAATACTCATAAATATTGCAGAGAGGGTGTTTTATTAAGGCTTTTAATAGCATGTGTAAAATTTGGTAATTTTATGCTGCCAGTAAGTCCGTTGACAGATCGGGAGCAGAGCATACACGGACTTCTAAAACATCATAAGTTGGATAAGGTTCCATGGACGAGTATATAAACATCCTTGTTGACTGGAAATATGCCGTGTGTTCCTTGTCATGATTGTGTACAAACAAAAAAATAAATCCGTGGACAATTGAGTTTGTAAAATATGGTCTTTGATTAAGGCCATTTTATCAGTAATAGAACTTTATATTTGAGGACTATGAGACTGTTAATATCCTTGTTTTATCGACTTGTTTGTCAGTAGCTTTCTTTTAAAAAAATTATTTGAACGTAGAACATGCTGAACTGAACACACTGAATTGTCTACGGAGTTTTATTTATTTCCCGATCATGACAAGGAGCACGGATGCTCACTCATTCATGGCACCTAATCCTACCTTAAATGTTTAAGAAATCCATATTTGCCCTGTTCCTAATTTGTATTGCTTGAATGGACTTTTGAAAACTCTTTATTATCCATTTATTTCATCATTCACCAATTCTCTATCATCAGACTTGGAGAGCTGGATCAATGCGAGCGGACATGTGTAATTGATAGAGGAAACTATTTTTAGTACAGTGTACTTCCTTAGAAAATTGAAGAACACACAAAACCAATGTCTGTCATGGCACCTCATACAATGGAAAAATTAGAAAGCGACTGAAGAAACTCCAAAACTGTCAAATTTTCATTCCTCCAGTGGACCTAAACCAACCTTGGATGTTTTGTTTTAAATTTGTATTGTTTCAATAGGCCATTTAGCTTGGTATGCCAGAGCATGTTCCAAGTATAATGGAACACACTCTGGCATACTAACCTAAAAGGCCTATTGTTAAGTCTGCTTTTGTCTATATAATGACATTGTTTTGCAAATACATTTCACAGGGTTTTATTTTGAATGAGAAATTTCGTTAAGCCAGTGTTTTAGTGTTGATTATGAACTATTCTATGCATATACCTAATCAATTAAGAGGACTCACGGTGGGTATGGTTGGTCAACAGGGAATGCTTACCTTTTCTAAGTACCTCATCCAAACTCTGGTGTTTCCAAGGGATTGCGTTTGTCTTGTTTATGATTGGATTAATTTACAAGTTTAAACTATTGACTATTGTTTCCAAACTTTTTAATTACAAAAAATCCTTACATGGCCTGGATATCGAGTATTTGGAACATAATCCTCCACCGTGTTCATGTTCTTCTTCACCCTATATACTAAAGTCCTGCATGACACGTTATAACAGGTGACGTAAATACAATTAATAATGAGGACCTTAAATCATTTATCAAAAAGGTCATAAATATCGGAATTTCATAAATATAATGGATTCTGTTGAAGATCACGTCAGGCGATGGGCAAGATATGAATAAGAAGACGTTGACACTTTGTCAGAATGGATTAGACCAATGTTAAAATCGCGTATTAAAAGATTCATCGAGGGGCAATTTGAAAACCATCCATCCTTCTGTATTCAATAATCCAGAAGTGAAAAAAGAATTAGATAGATTACACGACAAGTACGTACTGGTCCCTGCTGAAAGAGCAAATAACAACATTGTCTTCGTTTGTAAGGCTCATTATATAGAATATATTTTAGAAGAACTTAATTCTACAAATGGTAATCAAACTTATACTCATAGTTTCTTTTCTAAGGAGGAAATTTATCAAAAGAAGATGTCAGTTTTGAATATTTTTAATATCCCACAGAACCAAAATGAATTTGAACTACCATATATATATTGGATTCCGAAACTTCATAGCACTGTAAAAAAAAAAATAACTAGTTAATGTCACGAAGAAAACTAGTAGATTCACTGTCCATACAATCACTACCTTAATAGTAGTTTTACCAGATATTGGTATATTTATACTAGATAAGATTAGTAAATTTAGAATTTTTTGATGAGTAACTTTCACTAGTATCTAAGTATCTATACGTCCCCCGCTCCACAACTCACTATCTTAACCAGTAAACTGAAAGTTTACTAATCACGACCAATGCTTTACGAAACACATTAGTTAAATTCACTAGGTTTTTCTTTCAGTGTAGGAAACCTTACAAACAAAGATACATAGCGGGTTCTAGTAAATATTCAACCAAACCCCTTTCTATTTTCCTTACTAAGATATTAACAGTAGTGAAAGAGAAACTTCACGAGTACCGTGCAACTTTAGTACAGTGGCTACTAAAAATAATTGCAAGGAACTTTTGGACAATTTGAAATCACAAGATTTTACCAAAATCAATAGTTTAAAAACTTACGACTTTTTAACTTTATACAGAACCATTCCCCACGATAAATTAAAGTCCAGGCTTTTTTGATTTCATTGACAGAGCTCTGCCTTTTAAATAAAAATTTGACTTCGTAAGTTTACTTACCTCGTCATTGGTCATTTGAAAAATTATTTTGTTAAAACACATTCTGATTGTAAACACAAGTACTCTGAAGTTGACATAAAAAGGATACTTGAGTTTCTGATTGACAATATGTTGTTCTTGGAGACCAGGTCTGTCAACAATCTATTGGAATTCCCAAGGGTACCAATTGCGCCCCATTATTAGCAGACCTATTTTTTTATTCATATGAAGCAGAATTTGTGCAAAATCCTATGCGTGAAAAGAAAAAAACACTTGCGGTGGCCTTCAACTCGACATGTAGATATATCGACTACGTATTGTTAATTAACAGTGGTTATTTCCATTCTTATGTCGATACGATATATCTTGGTGAATTTGAGATAAAAGATACCACAGAGTCTAACACATCTGTTTCATATTTGGATATTTTACCTGAAAAAGACGTTAATGGTAATCTAACAACCAAGCTCTTTGATAATCCTGATGAATTCAATTTTTCTATCGTTAATTTCCCTTAATTTTGCAGCAATATACCTTCATCACCTGCATACGAAGTTTATATATCTCAATTGATTCGATACGCAAGAGAATGCTATACATATGTACAGTTTCTAAAACGAGTCAAATGATAGACAAACAAGTTGATGAAAAAAAAACATCAGCAGTCTCATTTCGTAAGATTTATGGTCGATATAATGACCTTGTCAGTAAAAACAATTTATCATCGAGTAAAATGCTGACTGGCGTTTTTCATACTAATTGTTAGTCCATTATTTATACACTGAATTGACGACGGATGTTTCCGTTATTTCCCGATCGTGACAAGTAGCACACAGTGGATGTGACCGATCTGCAGGGGATGCTCACTCCTCCATGGCACCGGATCCCACCTCTGATGTTTTGGAGGTCCGTGTTTGCCCTACTCCTAATTTGTATTGTTATATGGACTTTTGAACTTGAATGCTGTTCGTTATCTCCATATGTTTCATTAATGAGATCCGTTGCAGTTTGTTATGTTGATGATTTTCGTTTCACTCACGTAAACAGAAATGACAAACATAAGGTGTGAGATGGCGAAATTGCTTTGATGCATAAATAATTTTTTGATATTTAAAATAATAATATATATACACATGTCTTAAAAATAATACTTATCAATTAATTGTTCCAAGCTAGATTTCAACAGTTGTTCCTTGGATTTGAAGGTTAATTATCTTATATCAATTTTCATGGAATAATATGAATAACCAGAATAATATGCAGATAAAGAGCAGCATTCAAGTTCAAAAGTCCATTCAAATAATACAAAGCAGAGAAAACGCAGGCCTCTTGGGCATCAGAAGTGGAATCAGTTTCCATAGAGGAGTGGGCATCACCTGTTGAGTGGTCACACCGTTGTGCCCCTTGTCATGTTCGGAATAAACAGAAGAGTACACAGGTAACTTTGTGTGTAAATAATGATCTAACAAATTTCAATTTCTAGTCAGCATTTGACTTAATGATATGTTGTATTTGCTGACAAGTAAATTGTATCGGCCATGGAAAAAAAATGTTTGAACGTAGAACCTGCTCTTGCGTATCGAATCAACTGAGAGATATTTTAAATCCATGCAGTTAAAGGTATATCACTACATGAAAAGGAAGTTGGCGATTGATAAGCTATCATGTTTTTCATTAAGCTTTGTTCTTAAGTGTATTTATGCCTTTTCTAGTAAAATATTTAAATATAAAACAGATGTGTCAGCCCCTGTGATATCTTTCATTTCAACCTCACTGTGATGCATCGAGTCGACATATGAATAGAAGTAATTACTGTTAAAGGTAGAAAAAAAATTGCTAACTCTTTGCAGCTTCTAGGAGTCCCTATCGGGGTGTATCACTGACATAAGTGCAGTGTGTCAATTGCATGCCGTTCTCCAGATACTAGAGGTTGAAAATGGTAAAAAATTATCACTTTTTTAATTTTTAAGCACAATCTTTAATGTCAATTAGAAGCCACCTTTCCCCTTCTCCAAGCATCTGAGTTTATGAGAAATGTTGAGTTAAAGGCCACTGTATCCATGGGAATTTAAACAGATTGTTGGAGACCAGATCTCCAACTACTATATGGATATTGTTAATCAGATACTAACGCATCTTTTTAATATCAACTTTAGAGTACATATGTGTACAATGAGAATGTTTATAGCAAAATAATTTTTTATGCAAATGACCAATAACAAGGAAGGTAAAGAACAAGAGCCACGACGAATAAAAATCCGCTCCATCTTCAAAATTTATAATTTTTTATCGAATGAAAGTCTAGTATGTTTAGGTTGTAAAACAATTTATTTTTTTTTAAATATCTCTTCTGGTTTTCTTTTTACAGATGTTTAAAATCAGCATTGTTTTCCAAATGAAATGCCAAGACGTCATGACGTTGACGTTTAACATTTTGACGTCATGGCATTAAGATTGTTTATAGGAGGTAACAAATTTACATTTATGAAAAGTAATTCACCAAAAGAAGATTTTAAAT